GAAGGCGGTGCGGCGGATACGCTCGATCAGGTCGTTGTCCTTACCCTGCTTCTTGACATTGTCGGCAGCTTGGTGGGAGAGGACACCTGGGTACGTTAGAATCGTGACTCGGGTGGGAAAATAGAAAGGAGAGAAACTTACGGATCTCCTCGTGGGCGTCCTGGCGGGAGAGACCCTTGGCGACACAGGCCATGATGATGTTCTCGCTGAGATAGTGTTAGCAATATTCATTGGATTTGTATTGGATGTGTACTCACGTGGCCATGAAGGGGAGCTCGTCGTTGACGTGGCGCTTGATAACCTCGGGGTAGACGACGAAGCCGGAGGAGACGTTGTCTAGTAGTGGTTAGCTATACTCAGATCTTTGAATAATCCCGCAAACTTACTCAGGAGGATGAGACAGGCGTCAGCAGTCAGGTACAGCTCGGGGATACTGATACGGCGAATGGCACTGTCATCCTAGTACAAGTTAATAAAAGATTCTAAATGAAACCCGGTGTATACTCACAAGAGATCGCTCGAACCACTGAGCGGAGTAGGTATCCAAGCAGTCCTTGGGGAGGTTCTGCAGGTGACGTCCGAGAGAGCACAGACGCTCTGAGCGCATGGGGTTGCGCTTGTAGGCCTACGGATTATCAGCGAAAAAAGACCCAATTAACACAACGCACAATCAAACTCACCATGGCACTGCTGCCAATCTGGTCCTTCTCGAAAGGTTCCTCAACCTCCTTGAGCATGGCAAGGTGACGGATGTCAATGCCAATGCGCTCGCAGGTAGAACCGAAAGAACCAAGAGCGTTGGCGACATCAACATCGATCTTACGCGAGTATGTCTGGCTGGAGATGATGAAAGCGGAGTTGAAGCCAGCCTTCTCAGTAACAAGCTCATCGAGGCTCTCGACCTTGGCGTGGTCACCGTTGAAGATCTGCAGGAAAGATGCCTGAGTACCGGTTGTACCCTTGACACCACGGAAGCGCAGGTCATCACGGGCACGCTCGAGGTTGCGCAGATCCATCAGCAGATCCTGGATCCAGAGACAAGCACGCTTGCCGACGGTAACCAGCTGGGCGGGCTGACCGTGAGTGAATCCAAGACAAGGAAGGTCCTTGTATTGCTGAGCGAATTGGGACAGCTTGTCGACGACAACAGCCAGCTTGGGGATGAGGATGTCGAGACCGTCGCGGAGCAGGATCAGATCGGCGTTATCGGTGCAGTAGCATGAGGTGGCACCCCAGTGGATGATACCGGCAGCGGCGGGGGCAACCAGGCCGTAGGCGTGGACGTGGGCCATGACATCGTGTCTGCGGCGCTTCTCCTCTTCGGCGGCAACGGCGAACTCGTCATCCTGGATAAGCTGGTGGGCCTTCATCTGCTCGATAGCCTCGGTGGTGATGGGAAGTCCAAGCTCTGTAGCCATGATTTAGTCAATTTGGATGTCTTGCTTCAACTATGTCCGATGTCGGTCGAAGCTCGACTCTCCCGTACCTTGTTGAGCCTCCGCGAGCCAGGTCCAAAGCTGTCTCCATGTGGAGAAGCGCTTCCGGGGGGAGAAGAGGTACTTCATCTCATTGCCTGATCAATTGAGTATGGTTAATCCCGATCTATACAATTTCCGGGGTTGTCCCTCCTATGGAGGGGCAGTTGGGACCGAACTTACTCGCATAGCGCGAGTTGAGGGGGGTCTGGTAGACATCGTTGCTTCCGGACATTGTGTCGGTTGTCAGGGACACTCAAACAAAGAATTGAGTAACAGGACGGAGGATAAGACAGGGACAAGGCAATGTGCAAGGAATTTTACTCCAGTCCGACCTTAGCGGGGCTTATCACGTTATCGGAAACCTTATGATCTACATGTCACATGACACCTTACGTTGGAACAGGTGATGACATCGGGACAGATTGGGTGGCATATTATGGTATTAACTCGTATAAATGACAGTGCGTAATTTGAATATTCGCTCAGGAGAACTAAGACAGCTGCGCCAGCTGTACCGATAGGCTTGCCTTGTCGTACTTGATGTATTTGCCGCGGCCTTTGTCGATCTCCACATATCGATCGTAAAATCGCGCATACAAGGGTTCAAGAACTGTCTGCAGCTCACGAGTCAGCGCAGTGCGCACCTCCCGCTCCATGTGAAGGGTCTTGTGCCGAGACACCATTTCATCGAAGCTCGCGTTGAATGATTTGAACTTGTCCTTGATCGCATCCTTATCCTTGGACGAGAGGGACTTGACGATGGCACCTGAATCCACGTTGCCACTAGAGTTGCGCTGCGCTCCACGGGAGGTATACTGCACATCGAGAAGGTACTGGGATGTTTCCTTCCATGCATCAAGATAGGTAGACGTCGCGCGCTTGCGGAAAGTGTCGATCCGGGCGATACTGTCGGGGTTGCCCAAATAACGTGCCAGCTCTGGGCTCTGTCGGATCGACCGGTCGACCACGCAGAACACGTTGGACAAGAATACACCAAGCGCTGCCTTGGATCGATGGAAAGCCCGACCTCGAGCTTCCAAGGAGGTCATCAAGGCCTCGATCATATCTAGAATGAAATGAGACAGAAGGGTGCTGCTGTCTGGGCCTACATCTAGAGGAGCCGAGCCGCCAGTGTTAGACTTGGCACGCCAGTTTCCATCTCCCAAAGATGTCAGGATAGAAGCCAAAGGACCTGAGTATCCTGTTAGTGTGGCTAATGAGCTCATCACTTCCTCCACAAGAGGCACTGATCCACCATCCGGTGGGAGTGGCGCGGTAGCAGCTTTGCGCTTCGTTTCCTCGAGCAATTCGGAAAGAGACGACTTTGCAGTCTCCCGTACAGGCCGGAGAGCCTCGATCAAGAGACTCTTCAGTTCCGCCGCCTTGGGATCAATCCGATAGGACATTGCAGTCACAATTTCGATGATCTCAAAAGCCAGGAAGCAGTCCGTCATCAGATTGGCCTTTATATACTGGTTGAGCTCACGCAGTGTTTTGGAATATTCGCCCATAGCCGGGAAGAAGGTAGCTTGCAACGCCAGGCCCTGCTGATCTCCAGTGAAAACCTGCGTGATAATGCCGTGCTCGGTAGTTATAAAGGCCTCCAGCGCATTGGAGTAGATACCAATACCATTGGTACCCTGTTTATAAGGGCCATCGGTGGGTCGCCGTTTGACGGTATTGAGGGATGCAATGGCGAGGTTCTGCAAGCTGGATGTGATGTATGGTCCTCGTACCTCCGCGTAAACCTTCAGCGCGGGGTTATCTCCCTTGCCGCGCTGGGATCCATGGATGGATGCGGAGCCGACCACCGCGCACACGGGCGCCATATGAGAGATAGTTTCTTCGGGTATGGATGGAAAGGGGAGATCTAGAAGCGTCGCGAATTAGTTTTGATCTGGGTCATTTGGTGATGACATGTGTACCTTTGGTCAGATAGTGTAGGGGCTCAATCGGAGTGGCATGCTGGCTTAGTTCTCCGCGTAGCAGTTCTTGAAGTTTTGCGCTTCCGGTGTTTAAAAGAGAGTTGAATTCAGTGATTGCATTCTGGTTTGATCGCATGTTTGTTGTGTTGAGGTCGACCAGCGCCTTTTCAACACGTTTCACCGCCGATAGATACTGCGTGAGGCCGGAGCTCTGTGGTCTGAAGAACGGTCAGCAAAAGACTCGGGTTTGTATATCCAAAGAGAGTAGAAAGATACATACCCTGCGCGAATGATGCCATCTTCTCGGTTCTTTGCATCGAGAGGCTGGCGCAGGCGATCGATGGCGTCGTTGACCTTGTCGATATTGCTGTTGGTAATTTGAAGGGATTGGGTGTTGCTGTAGATGGGACCAATGGCTTCTTTGACGACTTTTCCTCCTGTCTCCAAACGTACCATGGAGCCTTGTATCTTCTTCGTGAGTCGGTTGAGCTTCTCCAGGTTGGCATACAGGACCTCGACCTCCGCGCTCTCCTCGGCGTAGGCGGTATTCCTTGGCGCCACCATGGTTAAATTATGAAATGCAGTTCAGGCAAAATCAATCCAGAGAGACCATATCACATGTCACCAGGACCCCTCAGGTCCTTTTGAGGGCAAATGGAATGGATTGATTGTCCCCTCCGAGCTCCATCCAGTGATAAGGAGCTTCGTTCCCCCATCCCGATCACGTGCTCCCCGACAATATCTGAGATTCTGTTAGGATCGCATGGTTTCTATTGGATAATTCTAGATACAGAATATAACTATGCGTAACTATTACATAATCAGCAAGCCTATCGCCTAACTAGTTAACTAGTTAGTTATCAGATAGAACCCAAGGTTCTTTATGTGATCACTAGGTAAGGCCTAGCCTTAGTAATCGAGGCCCGAGGTTGCGCTTGGCGGAGGCCCTAAGCTTGGTGCCTTAGGCACAAAGTAGTACAAACCCTACAAACCGATAATTTTTCATAATTTTATACTCCTGTATTCTCTGTATTAGCTATTTTCTACTAATTTAATATGTTTAATATAAAGGATAGTTATATATAGATATAGATCTAATATATCTTGAATAAATATAATATTTCATATATATAAGGTCCTAAAACGAGCTTTAAACATGCTATATTAGAACGCTTAGCAAGTTTGTTATTTTTATAACCCAATTGGGGCCCTAGCCTAGGTTTATGTTGGGTCGAGATTTTGGACCCAGCTCTAACCTAAACCCTGGTTAGGTCCGGGTTGGGTCCGGTCCGGTTGGGTTCTGCGGAAGCCTATCTAAGAGGTATATAAGCTACTATCTGATGGAAAGGATTTCAAGCTGAGGAGTGGCTGATAATATTCTGAACTACAAAATACATTCTTGGGTCAGGTAGACCTGGATTCGGGCGGGGAGCGGTGAACCCTCCACCCGTCCCAAAGCAGCGGACCAAGTCCGGAGCTATCACGTGTTAAAGTCACGTGGACTTACGTCATGCACTTGAGACTGTTCCAAAACGGGGTTGGCTTGCAAGAAAAAAGGCAGGCAAGGTTTTGGGAGTCCTTCAATGGATCCCACTAGATGCAGCAGGCCTCTTACCTTGCCTTCAACTCCCCGTCTACGATGTGCGCTGCAAGGGTCACTCGTCTGAAATGGACGGTACCCCCGGCTGCCCTAGCTGCATACACTGCGGGGGAATTGTCCCACCCCAGAAAATCAAGAGCTCAATTCACTACTTCTCAAACACGAAACAGCAATGACTCGGAGTCTAATAATTCCAATGCGGGTTCAGATGGTGGTGAGGATGCCAAGGACCATGGATCCATCTGGAACAAGCTTGATGGGGTTAAGCAAACTGTTACCTCCGGCGAGTGGGCAGATGTGGGACACATCACAGACTACATTATCCCGGACTGGACAAAATTTCTACCAGCTACTGCCCAAAAGCTCCAACGAGAGCTCTCACTATCGCCAGGCTCATTAGCAGACGATATCTGGAAGGAGGCGCACGATCCCCATATCAACCCTGAGATTCTCCGTGATGCCGAGGTACGAGTAAGTGGGGATCTTTGCGACGAAGAACAGACATTTAGGCGGCAGCGACAACGGAAGGTGGTCAAAGCATTGTCATCTTATCTCAACATACCCGAGGAGGACATCCACCCCGAAGATGTACCAGTCATTGCGATATGTGGCTCGGGAGGTGGTCTGCGCGCTCTAGTTGCAGGAACTGGATCGTACCTGGCAGCACAGGAAGCAGGGCTGTGGGACTGTATTACCTACACAGCTGGTGTCAGTGGCAGCTGCTGGCTGCAGACCCTCTATCATTCGTCCATTGCGCAGCGAGACTTCGACAAGCTCGTCGACCATTTGAAGAATCGTCTTGGTGTTCACTTTGCATTCCCGCCGGAAGCTCTCAATCTCCTCACTACTGCTCCAACAAACAAATACCTTCTCAGTGGCTTTGTGGAAAAGCTGAAAGGCGACCCTGGAGCGGACTTCGGCTTGGTAGATATTTACGGATTGCTGCTCGCAGCGAGACTGTTGGTCCCGCGAGGAGAACTGGGAGTTTCCGATATGGATTTCAAGTTGTCGAACCAGCGAGCCAATTTGGTAAATGGGGCTCATCCACTTCCCATCTACACGGCCGTGCGACATGAGATTCCTGTTGATGCTCTCAACCACTCAAACGACCAGGGCAAGAAGCAGCCAACGCCTGAACAGTTGGTGAAAGAGTCGCAAAGTGAAGCATGGTTCCAGTGGTTTGAGTTCACCCCCTACGAATTCTTTTGTGAAGAACTCAATGCCGGTATTCCCACCTGGGCTTTGGGACGTCATTTCAACGCGGGCCGCTCCGAGATTTCCGCTGACAACCTCCCCATCCCGGAGTTGAGAGTTCCCAATCTCATGGGTGTCTGGGGTAGCGCTTTTTGTGCGACTTTGTCTCACTATTACAAGGAGATCCGGCCTCTGGTCAGAGGCCTGGCTGGATTTAGTGGAATCGATTCTATCATCCAAGGAAAGAACCAAGATTTGATCAAGGTACATCCCATCGACCCTGCGGGTATACCCAACTACGTCATGGGCATGAAAGATCAGCTGGCCGATTCTTGTCCAGAGTCGATCTTCCGAAATCCCCACCTGCGTCTTATGGATGCGGGAATGAGCAACAACCTGCCAATCTACCCACTCATTCGACCTGGGCGCGATGTCGATGTAATTGTCGCGTTTGATGCCTCTGCAGATGTCAAACAGGAGAATTGGCTTTCTGTGGTCGATGGATACGCCAGACAACGTGGTGTGAAGGGTTGGCCCGTTGGTGCCGGATGGCCTAAAAATTCGAGCCTCAAGGAGACCGAGGAGGCCCTGCGCGAACCAGAGCACATCACTGAGGAGCAATTAACAAAGAAACTCGCCGAGGCCAAGAACAAGTCTGGAAATCAGCCCGCTGATCAAAAACCAAAGTCCGGCACAGACCTGGGCTATTGCAACGTTTGGGTCGGCACCACGGAAGAGCGAACCTCGGACGATGAGCCTCCACCATCCAAACGCCTCTTTGATTCTTCCCACAGCGAAGACCACTCTGAATCCGAGTTTCACCTCATGCGCCCAGATGCCGGTATCGCGGTCATCTACTTCCCTTTGATTCCCAATCCTTCCGCACCAGACATCCCTCTTAAGCCTAAAACTCGTCCGCGTGCAGCTGCTCAGTCCATGCGACAGGATAGCTCTCAAACCAAAGACCCGGAACTTCCCCTTGCTCCACAACCCAACTCGATCGATCCTGCAGTTGATGATTTCCTATCGACTTGGAACTTCATCTATACGCCTGAGCAGATTGATTCCGTAGTTGGTCTTGCGAAGGCAAACTTTGCTGAGGGTGAAGAACAGACTCGCCGTGTTGTCCGTGCTGTCTATGAGCGCAAGAAATCCGATCGACTGGAGAAGGAGGCGACAGAGCATCGGAAGAAGATGGAAGGCTTTGTGCCTCTATGATTCTGCGCTGTTTTACTCCAGTCAACTATCACCGGACCAAACCTGATTCTGGTTGAAGCTACATATAATACCACGCCATCGTGAACATAGACGGCGCCTTTTTGATATTTTTACCACACATACCCCTGTCCTTCCTTTTCATTTCCCCCATTGTTTTGAGTGGGATAAAACCTGGCATATCTAGATTTCACACTCATAACGTTCCTAGCGAGCTGCGATATGTTTTCATTTGTGTATAATCCAGAGTAAAGCCTGTGACAATATCAAGCATAGAAAGCATTCAATCCAATGGTATATTCGTAAATGCACTATGTGTTACTTATGCTATGCACTTGTACAAGCCCTGGCTAATACTATTTCCCACTCGACTGGTCAGAGCTCTAATGTTTTACTCTGCTCCCCCATTGGTATAATTCGTCTTCACTCCCTAAAGCCCTTCACTATGCACCTTCTTAACTTTGACCTTCCGGCCCTCATTATCGGTAGTAGTCTCATCATCACTCCCAGCAAGACTACCATCCCGACTACCACCCGTCTGCTTCCGCAGTCCAAGTTCCTTCTCTATCGCATGTCCCAGCTCTTTAGTCTTGTCCGAGAGACTCGTAGCAGTACTTTTCTGCGACGAAGTCTCAGAAGGACGCTGATTCTCCTTCTTATCTTCCTGCAGTCCCCGCCAGTCAGGCGGCTCGCTTTCATGGATGGAATCGCCGGGTTTGGGCTCACTGATCGGTCTGCCCCCTGCCGGCGTGATATCCTCGCTCTTCCTCCCTTTCCCTTTGATCTTGCTAGCTGCACTGGCTTCCACAGTCTCCGCCGCAGGATACCGCCATACAACCTTCAGCTTGTCTAACGCCCGGATTCCCTTCCTCGCGCTCCCCTTGATCCCATCCATCGCGTCCCATTGGGTCTCGAAGACGCCCGAGTCGTGCTCGGCTCCGCCTTCGAAGTAGGGATTGAACCAGACGTGTGCGATGGAGGTTACCATCGCGAAGCCCGTGTAGGATGCTTTGCTGCGGCGCTCGAAGTCGATATTCACATCCGAGCTGGGGACAATCACTGGTTTGTTGGGTTTGAAGATCATTGCCGAGACACTGTGGGCCGGTGCGGACGATGAGCCGGAGACTTCAGATCTCGATACCGCCGGGGACCATGTCGCAGATGAAGGGAGTGGGTTTTTGATATCGAGGTTGGAGTTGGGATTCGGCTTGGTGATGTCGCTCCCCTTGCTAGCGTCTTGTTCCTCAGACGTCGAGCCCCCGTCTTCGATGATGGTACGCTCATTCCGATTAAACAGATGAAAACATTCAATCTTCTTTCCCTCATCCACATACCCCTCCACCGCAACTTTGACCCCATCCCTCAATCCCCAGATATGAACTTCCAGGATCTCCACCGGTCGCTCGACATATTGCTTCCCCATCTCGTTCGCCCATTTATCGATATATCCGATATACCGCAGCTGGCTGGGGATGCTAACGCCGTCTCCGAAGCCGACCCGCATGCGCCGATCCGTAAACCGCTGCAGCGCGTCTTCCTTTTTCCACCCCTCCTGGCTGATCAGGTATGCGCACGCGATCGTCCCGCTGCGTCCTTTGCCTGCTTTGCAATGCACGACAGCGACGCGTTCGTTTTTATCGGTGTCCGTGTCAAGTGATTCTTTTTCGTCTAGTCGTTTTAGCCAGTTCCGCATGCTGCCCATTATGTTGGGGATATGCGCGAATGGCGGGGGTGGTGGTCGGGCCAGGGGAAGTGGTGGATGCGTCCGTAGACTTCTGAGTCTGGGTATCCTGTGCCTTCGGCGCGGAATTCCCAAATGCACCAATTTGCGCCATGTTTGGTGTCGAGGAAGTTGACGAGTGCGTCTAGTGGGTTGCGGTAGGCGCGCTGTGGATATGTTGCTGATGGGCCGGAGGTTGCGATGACTGTGGATAATGTTAATGGGGATTTTTTGGTGTGGAATTGGTGAGTATTTTACCATTGTCTGCCACGTAGCAGAGATCTAGCCCTGCTTCTGGATGTTGTTGTCTTGGACCTGCGACAATCTGGCGGAGAATTGATGACTGGGAGATTCCAAGGTTAGCAGTTGGAAGGTGAATGAGATGGAGCTGACGTACCATTTGCAGAGTATATATGTGTTTATAAGTTATGTCCCCCAAAATTAAGTGAACGTGGAAGAGACAATATGTATACAATTCGACAAAGCACGGGGAGTTGTTTTTGAGGCGTAGCGGATGATGTCATTGGGTCAGGGCCCTTGCTTTCTGCTGTATAGATCTACTATATTCTACGAACATACTCCGTAGACATATATAATATTGTCGCAAGTTCATTTCTTTGTACAATTCCAGGCTAAATATACAAGCCAAATATTTCCACAAAATCCCAGAAATTTCCAATTGGGCATGTCGGGTGTTCATCAATCCAAAGAGACCCAAGACCCTCCAGTACATTAAAAATAAACAGCCAAATCCCCAAATTCAAAAGAGTAGAGACCGGTAGCAATTCAAGCAAAGCCGTACTCCTGAGTAGGCTTCATAACAAACTGAACTGGCTTGTGGTCAGGGACGGTAACATTCTTCGTGCCGTGCTGAAACCAAGTCGCGAGGGACTTGTCGCTGAGATAGGATTTCCAGGTGTGGGTGACATCGACAGTCCACTCCGGGTTGCCTTCAGACCAACCGGCAGGGGAAACAATGGTTGTGATATTCTTGTCGTCACAGAGGACCTTCTTCTCTGAGATGCCGGTGCAATGGGTGCGGAACTTGGGAGTCATTGCGTTTGCGCGGCCGGAGATGTCATATCTGAAGACGCAGCCACCTTGGGAACAGCCGAGGGTGAAGTTGGATACGCCCCAGATGATGTCGTCGGTGATTGTTTGGGTCTGTAGGGCAGCGGGGAGTGCAGCGGTTAGGCCTGCTAGGGCGATTGGGAGGATGAAAGTGAGGTGCATTTTGGATTATGAGTTTTAGTTTTAGAGAAGAGCCTTGAATTAGTTGAATACATAGAATATAAGGGGAGGGAGGGGAATTATATAGAGGCGGCTGGCGTTTAACGGCACTTCCCTCTCTGGGCGTCCTTGGCACTCGGAACCCAGCGCCGATCACTTTCAGGGGAACGTCTTGTGAATGTGTCTTAGAAGGTTCATTATGACAAAACTCGCTTTGATTGTTGGACCTTCGAATCCTCGAATCAATCACTGTTCGTTCACAAAGGTTGTACTGTCCAACAGTTACCTATCGTCATCGAGGTCTTTCAGTCCGACTATTTATAGATGGATCTACAGGGATCAGGGTTTATGGTTCATCTCCAGTGGTTTCTTTTCTTTTTTTCAGGAGTTCTTTTCGTAAAAAAGTGGAACAGAATCGAAAATAAAATTTGCTGTGATGCTGGGGCAAATATTTGGGTGATACAAAGTGCAGAGGCTTATAGTACAGGATATATACATACTGACCGAGGTCGAAAGTTGTGTGACAAGCTCATGAAGGGAATTGGTGTTCTGTTCCTGGATTATGTGGCTTGCAGCTTAGCTGCATATTCCAGGCAACTTGCCGTCCAAAAATGAAGATTTTGATCGAGATTGAAACATGCCCTTAAAGGATATCGAAAGGATTCGTCTAGTTTCACTCGGACTTGGCAGAGCCATTGTCGGTGCCACCGGCTTCCCACTCATCCCAACCCTCCTCTCTCATGTTTTGTTCAATGGCAAGGCGGCGTCGTTTCCTCTTTCGACGCTCTTTGTTGTAATCACGTCGCTGCTCATCTGACATGTTCAGTCGACGAACTGCCGGTGGTACAGGGTGGCGGCCAGCTCTCTCATTCGCTTCTCTTTCCTTCTGTTTCTGCTGTAGCTCCTCGTCTAGCTTTCTCACGTCGTCTCGAATGAAGGGGTGATACTGCAGTCGCATCGCAAACTCGTCCACAGACCCGGCACAGATCTCACGGATTTCCCGATGCGTTTCAGGGCTGAGTCTGGCGTCTCGCTTCATCAGGTCTTGGAAGTACATGAAACCGGACCGGAAATTTCCCGCATCCAGACACATTAGGATGATAGACTCAAAAGTAACACCGTTCGGTACCACCCCAAGTGACGCCATCTCTTTCACCAGGAACATGCCCGATTCGCGGTTGCGGGCCGTTCGGCACATCCGAATTAGCGCGTTGTACACTCGGACGTCGGCGCCTTCGGGGCATAACGTATAGAGCTCTTTGTAGAACCCAACGCCGTCATCCACCACGGATGGATCGTCATGGGCAACATGTTCACAGAGATCTGCGATGACTCGGACAGACTCGATGGGAACAGTTCGTTTCTCATTCTTCAACCGCTTGAGAATCTGCCACGCCTCCCGAGGATCAACTTTACTCTGTATCATATGCGCAAGAACACTCTCTGTCGAGCTATCCGCCAGAGGAACCTGAGCTTCGTGCATGGTGCACAACGCTTCAAACGCAGCAGGCAGATCACCAGCTGCCACGTGCGTCGCAACAAGTGCTTCATATTGTGTGCGCTCGAGCGGGATCCCGCTCTCATGGAGGTAACGGAACACAGAGCCCGCCAGCTCTGTATCACCGGCCTTTGCAGCCATTTTCAATACGTCATCGCAGACTTCAACGAGCGGATGCATGTAGCCCAATTCGACCATCCGTCGCCACACATAGTGTGCCATCGGGTAATGGCCCTTTTTCCCTGCCTCGGTCAACACGTGCATCCAAAGCCGATGGGTCATGTCGTGGCCCTGGTCGACGCGCGCACGCATCACATTGTACACCTCGTCCAACTCTCCATGGTCGCAGAGCGTATAGACAATTATACTGTGTAGCCAATTTTCCACAAATATATCCTTTCGCTCCATCAATGCAACATGCTCGAGCGCGAGTTCGATCTGGTTCTCGCGGAGAAGACCAGCAGCCACAAAATGCCACCCGGCGGGGCTCAGCGTGAGCCACCGGTCTCGTAGCTTGTTGAGGATTTCCTGTCGTAGGAGGTAATCCGGATGTACAGCGAGGACCTATGGAAATTCAATCGTCAGCTTCGCTCTACATATATAGCTCCGTTCAACTAGATAACATACCTGCAATGCACCGTGGAGCGTACCCGAGTCCGCCGTGATGCCATTATTCTCCATCTCCTCTAGCAAGCCGCGCACAAGCTCCGGTGAGCCTCGCTCGTTATCGGTATTTGCAAGGATCAGCGCCTTGTAGTGGCGAGCATTCGGCTGCACATGACGGTCCCGAATGAGCAGTCGCAGGATCTGGGTTATGTGTCGAATGTTCGGCTTGTTGTCCATTGCATATTGCAATCGGGACTCTAGCCCTTCGTTCGTTTTCCCTAGGAGGTCGTCTTGCACCCTATGTGTTCGTGTGTATAGCGGGCCGCCTTTTCGTTGTATGGGTGGCCTGGCGGTTGGGTCTCGAGATAGACGAGCGTCACGGTATTCATTTTCGCGTGGCTCTCGTGCTTCGCTCCGATCATTATGATGTGCTGCATTATATGGGACTTTGAAAAAACCATCCCCGCCTGAGGTGTTGTAGCATCGGCGCGAACCCGCGCTCGGGCTGGAAATCGAAGGTAGTGGATATAGTCTCTGGCTTCGGCCCTTGGATTTGGGGAATGCCGTTGATCGACTGAGGCTCAAAGCTGTAAATGACGGACACAGAGAGTACCATAGCCCATCGAGGACTAACGCCCGCCGCGACATATCCGTTTGTGGCTAACTCATCGGAAGCTTAGCCTCCGCGGATTTGATCTGGAGTTTGATATCACGTGACAACCCCGAATATTCACTTCTTAGATTGCATGGGGTTTACAGATAAATATAAGTCTAGTTTGGGTTTTTGGAATATAACATTTAGAGGTAGTTGTAAATCGACCAAGTGACCCAGATGCCGTGAAAATACAGAGCCAGATGCGCCACGGCCATGCTCGATCAAATCGTTCCACCGGACCTTCCGAGCGACCTTACCACCGTCTCCTCCGGGGGTATCTCGTTTTCCGTCTTCTTAAAAATCATTGATGCAGGGCAAGCTTATGTCTAATTGGGACCGCCTCGTCCCCGACCACGTCCACCCCGGCCGCCACCACCACCACCCCGACCACGGCCGCGGCCACGATCACCGTCTCGCCCGCCGCGACGGCCTTGTGGTTGGTTTTGTTGCTGCTCTTTGACAATCTCGACAATCTCTTCGGGAACTCGTAGGTATTTGATCTGGGGGTTGTTAGCACATAGCCAAAAGAGCGGGGCTCTGAGTTGATTGCTCGTCGGAGGGCTTACGTTGTTGCCCCGGATGTAAACTTCGGGTAATCTGAAGAACCGGTCGCCCTCGGGACTCGTCTGCACTACCTCGCGCAAAATGAGGTTCATGAAGTTATCGCAGGTAACCAGGTGGCCGTTCAGAGTTTCGCCGTTCTTCAGTTCCACCAGCATGGGGTGGCCCTGTGCGGCCGTGAGGAGACCGAGAGGAAGCTGAGCAAAAATTGAGTTAGTATCGGTATTGGAAAGGGCGTTTGGGTAAAGCTGGAGCTTACCATTTTGGAATGCGATCGACGAGGTGGGTGAAGGTGGGAGAGTCAGTTGGCGCACAGAGTTGAAATAGCGCGGGTTGCTGCGTAGATCCAAAGTCTGCGACTTATGGATTGAATAGCGGAATTAAAGCCTAATGAATGGGCCTGTTGATTTATCTGGGGTTGTTGAGAGTAGCAATGATTCAAGCTCCAAGAGATGCGATGAGGAGCCGGAAAAAGGGAAGTGCCGAGCCCAAATGTGACTTGGGTGACCATCTACACATGCAAGGAACTATCGAACTTTCAAATATTGATTTTAATATTCTTCCATTTACATCTACCATTCCATGTATTAAATTGTCATAGCTCTACCAGTATGAGAGCTTTCGGTAGCATAAATTGGTGGGTATCGACTAGAATTGAGCTTCCTAAAGTTGCACACCTATGAGAATGGTGTATAAGACTAAATTGTTAAATGCTTCGAAATAACACCCTCATCCACGGGCATGCATTACATAGTATATAAGAGAGCTGACCACCGCAGGGCGTTTAAACCCTTGGTCGCTTAGCTAGCTCTGTCTCGTCCTCGTCATCATCATCATCCATGACCGTGAGCTTGCGCTTGATACGTCGGTCTCGGCTACCGGTAGGAGCCTTGCTAGCCTTCTCGTTTGCCTCTGCCTCTTCGTCCGATTCATCTTCCGGCATGCGGCCCTCGAGCGCATCCAATGTGATCTCGTAACCTTCCTCCACATTTTGGACCGTAGCGTCAAGTTTCTCCACCCGGTCTAAAAGCTCCAGTTCATTCAAAAGTTCTTTGTGCTTTTTATAGAGACGTTGCTTGGTTAGCATACGCCACCAGTAGTAGCGTCGGTCATCCTCATTTTCAGCCTTGAACTTCTTGATCAACAGTCGAGCGAGGTTTGTGCCGCCAGCCAGGCGGTGGCTTTGCGGGATCTGACCGAGAAGGTACATCTCCAGAACGTGTGCAAACTGCGTGGGCTCGATCTTGAACGATTTGCGGATGTCATGGAGAAGTTTGGTGGGGATGAGGGCGGAAGTGGGCACATTGCGAGGGCGTTTCTTTTGAGAATACGCTCCGAGGGGGTCGGGGTTGAGATTCACGTTGTGCCTCAGGAACTCCGGTCGCAGCAGACAGTAATCGGCCGTGTCCCGCAGCGCGTCGAACTGTTCATTGGGGTCTTCGATGGTCAATTCTAGAATGGTTGGGTCTGCAATGCAGGCCGCGTGGATTGTGGTATATAGGTGTGTGCCATGGCCGGCGCGGTGGTGTGAAGGGAGAATAAGGAACTGGGCAAGACGAATCCGTGCAGGAAGCTCGGCAATGTTGACTTCTGGTGGCGGAAACTCGTCATTCTTGACTGTGGGGATTTGTGATTGATCCCGCTGATAATACCAATAGCGGTACGTTGTGGCATATCCGACAATCGAATATGATGATGCTGTTGGTGTTGGAGGAGTCACCTTCTCATATCTGTAAATTTGATTAGTCTTAGGTCACGGATACCAGCACAGCAAGAGCAACATACACGAAATATACCCTCCACCGGTCGAGCGTCCACTCCGGGTCATCTGTGTCTAGGGGAGTTCCGGCCTCAATGAAGAGGGAAACGAGGACCTGCATGCGATCTAGAAGTTTCCGCACCTGCGGGTCTGCAAGTGATCCAGCCCAGATCTCATATTTTCGGTCATCGACCTCGTAGCCAATGACAAAATCGCCTGGAGGCTTGAAATCTTTCGCGTCCGGGTCGTTCTGAACAGCTTTCTCATAGTCTGGGAGATTGGCGAATGCCTCTGCGCAAAATGGTGGTTAGCTTGTATCGCACATATTGTCGCAAAGCTTAAACTCACCTTGCTGGACAAAAGGTTTCAGAGTATCGAGAAGATCGACAGCAGCTGTGTCACCGACCGGCTTGAACTTCTCATCATAGGAAATGTGAACATGAGGGCGCAAATCATGGGCCGCAAAGCGCAAGCGGATAATTAAGCCTCTGTACCCGAAGATTTGCTCATCATCGCCAAAGATAGGATACGTAAATTGGGGGTGGAACGTCGAAAGTGTTTTCGGCTTCTTCTCGCCGGGTTGAATGATGGTAACATGGACCGCATCATTGGCGTCGCAAGACCCTAAAGTGAATATCAATCAGATTATATCTTGGCGCTGGATAGGTAGCCATGAACTTACATTCAGCTTCCGCCATTTTGACAGGATATGTGGAATTTGAATGTCAAATAAGACAATGGAAGGTCTGAGGTCTAAAGAGAGACGCGAATACGCGCCCCGGCGCGCATCAGTATTACCTAATCTGGATCTATGGCCCGCCTCACTACACTAAAACGTACCTTACATCTATACGGAGTGCATATTAGTATAATATAATATATCTTAGATTTATATCGCTTACTATTACTTTACTATTAATTCTCATTTATAATACATGTCTATAGTAGGAGAAGCTATCTAGTTATAAAACTATGATCTTTCTGATCTAAAGGTGTATGTACTAAGACACATCTATATAGACCCTCCTTCCGTGCCTGTCAGCTTCCTTAGAAAAGGGCTTAATAGCCAGGGCATTGCAGGCCGCCCTTCTGAGGGATCCCGCAGTGCTTGCCATCTCCGCCCTTACGGCCAGCACACTAAAAGTTTTGTTAGTTTCTGGTGTATTTTGATCTGTAGGGGTTGCCGAGGTAGGCTAGGTGGCTCTTACGCTTCCATGTTCGCAAGGCCTATAGTCGCTCATTATTAAATATACATTATGCCTAGTTTATAAAGGTAAATTGAGTGACTTACCAATTAGTGGCTGCAATCTTGCAGGATGTGCTATTGCACACCTAAAGGTAATTAAGTTTAATGTTGGACGTTTCAACAAGTAAATATCATATACACCACAGAGCGTCCAGTTGTGGTCGCAACCCTGCTGAGTGGAATCAGTGGAAGCGATGCTATCGCTTCTCGCATCGATAGGTGCAGCGAGACCGAGGGAGGCACTAGCGGCCACGAGGATGAACGTGAGACTGGAGAAACGCATTTTAATCGTTAGAAATTGAAGTTTTATGACTCAATGATCAAATCCTTAGAGAAATAAGAATCTTCTAATAGAAACAGAATCACTAGAGGAGGACCTCATATTTATACGTGAAATCTAAGTGACTGCCTCGGAGATGTCCTAGCCTCGCTCAATGAACGTTATCATCATCTTGCAAGGTTACATTCAGTCTTTCTTTTTCAATTGATAGGCAGCATAAATGAAGGTTGTCTTACCCCAAATTTTTCTTTTTACTCGACGGGCCGCATATACACAGGCGATCTTCTTGCTGATCTCTCTATTTTAGTTAATAAGATACATGAACCCCCAAGTAGCTAGAGTCTAAAAGAGTCATATTTAGATGAAAATCGCACTATTTAGTGTTGGTAATTTTGTACGTAATACCGGGGGCGAGCAGATCACACCGCTACGCATAGGGGGCCGAGAAGCATTTTCATTAACATTCTAGTGACTGACATACCATGTCGAGTATATCTAGATTAATCGGGTCACCTTGGACTGTTGGATAGGGCTATATCCACCCAAAGTCTTAGTACAGCGGGATCTTGTCAGAATAGAAGGAAGAGCATAAGATATGTTTTACGAAAAAGCGCATAGGTGGTGTATGTACTCTATAGAAAGGAACCAATAGCTCTATAAGAGACTACAATAAAAGAGCCCATGTGATCTTAATTTTGGGCATGCTAGACGCCTCTGATTCAGGACTATCACAGTGCGCCTTATGCAGCCTAAAAACAAAGAATCTGGGAGAGTCCACTTCATTTTCACTTTAGCTTTAGTCTAAGGAGTATTTGGCTCTATAGTATTTTGACGATTACATTGCAAAGAATTATACTAGAAGGATGATAAGTGTAGGATCTCTAGATTCAGAACTATAGAATACAGATGGAAGTATATATGAGTCTCGATGTAACGTATAGGTAGATTCAGAGTGAAATAGGTTCATGGTAGTCAGCAGTGATTTGGGTACCTAGCAGCCCGCATAATTAGGGTAATTAACAATGTGATATCAGATATAGGCGCTGTAATATATCATGCATAGAGAATGGGATTCTGCATCTCAACATCTTATCTCACATGCTCTGGCCATATACATTTACTCTGTATAACGGGATGGCTGGTCTATGATACGGGGGCTCTAACTGGTAGGCTAGTCGGCCTACACGTTCGAGGACCTTTGAACTTTCCGGGGAAGCATTTGCTAGGATGCTATAGCTATGCCTACGTCTAGGTAACCTAAGTCGCCCGGGTTAAACCACTTGCGGTGGTGTGACTTGTCGTAGTAGTTCTTCATCGTGCCGGAAGGCGATTTCGAACGTCTACTTTATGCGTTTAGATTGGTTATCCGCTTAAGTGTGGTAGGCTGAACATATAGATAAAGTTCCACAAGCCTTATACGAATTTTAGATACCAGTCGGAGATAATAGATAACCATACTGGGAAAACCCCATTCTACGGCCCTCCAAAGGTCAGGACCGACCTGGTCTATCGGTCCCTCGCCATATGGTGTGGCCGGAAATAGGCCAGCTTGCTCTGAATCAAATCTCGCAACGAGTGACCCAAGAGTCGGGTGACTACTGTTGCCGACATCCATATCCCGAAAAGGGCGATGGCGGAGCTAATGAGAGATCCTTGCCAACCTGAATAGAGCATGATAAACTGGAAAAATAAAATGATGCACCTGGTTCAGAAAGTTCAGTAAGGCGAGGAAAATAATTAAGAAACATAACATCAGAAAGTCAATGCTATTTGCAATTGTGGAAGCTACAAGTACTTGAGTGTTAACAGGGAAAGAACCTTGGAAGGGAGATAAATAGAGACTTGTAGGCTGTCTTCATGTCTAACTTTTATTACACTCATGTATGTTGTTCCACAGCTTCTGATCTAGTTTCCATTTCCTGACTGATTTCTTCAGTTGAGGTATCATTTCCAAAGCTCGCCGTATCCCCATCGTGCGTCCTATTCGCTCAAGCGTTTCAACAACCCAATCATGAACTTCACCGGGGGTCCCCGCCGCACCTCCGGCAACTCCTAAAGGGAAAAGCAGCATGAAGGTACCGTTCAACAGTGGTATACGGGACGGGTCTTCGGTAAATTCTTGCTCGGAGGTAGCTTCCTGACTTGCAGCTCCGGCACATATATCAATTGCCATGCAAGCAATCGTGTCCAATGCGTGCTGCCGTTGAATCACATTATTTGCTGTGGGTCGTGCCATTCTCGAAATTAGGGACACGATGGTTTCGTTGACTAGAAGTCGTGCCCAGCGGTAGTGGTTGAGAATTTTCGAAACCCACATGTTTTTGTAGACATGGTACTGGCCCCGAAAGGTGTACTCGTATTTATTGGATTGTTTCACAGTAAAGAGCCAGTATGTTGGGAGATGAGTTCCCCACTCGCGAAGTTCATCTTCAAATGAGAGTGCTGACTCGACTGCTGTTTTGGCGTCGATTTTTTCGTGATGCAGACATGCATCGAACTTCGTGAATCTTATCAGTATGTCAACAAGGCCGACGCCTGGTAAGATATCTGGTGGCGCGGAGGGTATGAGATCAGGAGACCAGTTCAGTAGATCCGGGGTGACAACCCTCTTGGCGAAATACTTGACAATTGAAACAAAGTAGAATTGTAAGTGGGCTCGGTGGTTCATAGTCAGGAGTGACTGCCGAAAGGTGGACTGTTTAAGTAAGGCAGCCGCACCATCCAGATGCACAATCCAAGAGTCGAGCTGGTTTGGAGCACAGCTGACCATCTGCGCGGGTCAGTTTGTTGCAACTATTAAACTGCAAAGCAGAGATCATCAACTTGAAGAACATACCTCGTATAGACTCAGCATTACGATCAAGTGGAACGTTTTGTCGGGATTGGCCTGAGTGGGATTCTCCACTACTTCTAGCACAGCCTTGATGACCAGGGCATGTTTCTCTCGAGACAATATCCGCAGTGCTCTGTCGTTATTGACATTGGACAAGGCAGCGAGGCCAACCGAGATGACAGCATCTCGACTCGACCGATGGAGATTAATTGCTCCAAAATGAGGAGATGGTGGCAAACTACCTACATCTATAGAGCCATCTGGTCTGTTGGCCATTCGTGTCACAAATCTGTTAATAAAGAACCTCAACCCCTGGTCCTCCAATGGGGTGGACAGCGGGGCAGTAATTCTCGGGGTCGGGATTGAGTGGCCCCTGCTCCTGCAGACTAACGCATCTGACGGCGAAGGATCGGCTCGCGAGCCGGGGGTGGATATATCGGATTCTAGAGCACTATCCTCCAATCTTCGACGGGCCTCGGTCTTGGCTTTTGCTGCTGCACTTCGTCGAGCCGCCTTGTCATTCTCGTCGCGGAACATAAGAGACGGCACATCCCGATAGCCGCCACATGGTTTGCCCGCTCTCTTGCATTGGGAACACACGGGATCAAGCCGGTCACACTAGACCATGTCAGTCTACAATTGATTGGTTAGGCCATGCCACTTGCCTTTATCCGTCTTTCCCGACAGCTGCAGCAACCTTTACTGGGACGACCGTAGAAAGGCATTGTCTAGGTGCGGGGGTATCATATTCAATTCTAAAATAGGCAAAGAATTCGTGAGGATCGGAGATGAGTCGATGACTTGGGGCTTAGCCTCCCGAGGGCTCCACTCTAAAATTGGTGGATGCTTGGCATCGGCCTTTCCTAATTGGGTATCTGTTTCATCATTTAGTCCAAAACATATATACACATCGAATTTCATTGCCTTTTATTGCGATTATGTTATCCAGAATTTTACAATTATGTCTAGGTTAGGTGTGATTCCAGGGATAAGCCCTCCTTGGAAACACTCCCTAGACGTATTGTATATGGCAAACATTCTGTGCCTGACCCTCCACGTGATGATGATGATGATGCTGATGGTGATGAGCTTCATGCGACCTACCAAGTGGTATAGTGGGCAAAGCTGTTGATATGCTGGTTGAAGTTGTACTGCTCGTAGAAGATGGGGAAGTCCCACTGTTGTTTGCAATAGTTGATGATCCAAATTTTTCGGTGTCCAAAAATGCAGAGGCAGCATTGACCTCTGTGGTCGTTGAGCTCGAAGCAAGCACACTTTGACGGGATACGGCAGAAGTTATAGTCATTGCGCGAGATGTAGTGGACGTCCTCGGTGTGGGATTTGCTGTAGATGAAGCGGATTTCGAGGAGAATGCAATTTCCACATCGGACTCATCCATATGATAGAGCAATGATCCCCAGCCCAACCCATCGTAATGACCAGACCCTTCTCCCCAGGAGCCTGCACCGCCCTCCGCACCGCCGTAATAGTCGAGAGAGTTGTTGAGGAACAGAGTGGTCCAAGGCGCATCCATTGCCTTTATCGTGACATAATGGCTGTAGAGAAGCTCCCAGGTAGGCCTAATGGCCCCACGAGAGGCACTACTGATCTCGGTGTGGCTGACTATACCGTTCGTGTAGTAGACGAAGGGAACATCATTTCCAAGGTTGTATCGCGCAAAGTACTCCGTCCTAGGGTGATACGTAAGTAAATGGTAAGGCGGAAACCCTGGAAGGATTAGATGGCACTTACCCACGGAGAATACGGCTATCATTATAGGCAAACAAATCCTCTCCTTGATTCCAGGCCTGCTGCCCGATAACACCGAGAAGTTGTATGTCTAATGCTGAGTGGCCCTGATCACGACCGGACTCTTGGCCTTGGCCGAGTAAAACCCCAGTACCAGGCTCTTCAACGATATCGGTGATAGCATTGTTGATCGCGCCCGTTCCTTCCCCGGTCTTGAAGTAATCTACAGCAAAATCCCACACTGTTTGATTGTCGGTTACGACCGCCATAGCCATCGTCGAGGCGATATTGCACAACTCCCAGTTTGCAAAGAAATGAAGAACGTTATGCTCCGACGGCTCTTCATGGTTCAACCATCTGTAGTGCATCGGGATAAATATATTATTCGCCATTTCCACAACGGCTGGGAGGACATTGTTCACAAAGGGCTGATAATCGCGAAGGAGTTCGGCTGCGTTGGCGAATTCATACCCCTGCAGGCCCGCTGTAAGGTACTTGTCATCGCCACCGTCGATTGCAGTGAGAGTGGTCGCCCATGCATGTAGGATATTGCTAGCGGCATCTGCGAAGCTCGTATTTTGGGATATTTTCCAGCGTAAGCCTAGATTGAATGCTGCCGCGACGTCATGCCAGAGGAGCTCTGCGTTCTCGGTATGGTCATCCCAGGCACCCCGATAGACAACACTAGCCGGGGAAGGAGTGTAGCTGGCATCAGAGAATGAGAGACTGGTTAGGGTATTCCAAGATGTAGTCCATGGATCCTGGTTGGTCTTGATCTTTTTCTGGATGCGAGAGATGTCGCTATCGGAGACAAGGAGACCAGGGTGCACAAAACCTGCAACAAGTGGGAGAAGAGGTATAACGAAAGAAAGCAAGGCGGCCATTTCAAATAAAATGGTGACAGAAACGAATGCAAATATGACAAGACAAGAGAAAAGATGAACTGGACATAAATTCGAGATGTATATCAAAGTGCATACTCCATGCTTAATCTAAAACAACTCGTGTTTCAATTGTGCCTTAGGAAATTCTTGGGTAGGATCTGCAAATATTGTCTCAAACTTTATATAAACTGTTTCAAACCTCCTATAAGAAACACCGAAGATTTTCCGGAGAATATCTAGTAAGAAAAGTTGGCCGCATAAGCGCTTATGCGGCCTCTGTTCTGGACATTATATTTGAGATTAACACTACGATCTCTTTTTGGATATCATCTTCCCTTCTTAATTTCAAAGATGACAAAAATCATAGAAGTTAAACATGACTTCTCTATGTATAACCAGGGACATGAATAGTTGGCCGCTTACGCGGTGTTATGAAGTCTTTTTGGTAGTCGATAGTCTTCTCAGGTGGCTTCTTGGATGGGACGTTTTTGTAGATATTTCTTCCCTTTGTTAGTGCCATAGCTAGGAGGATAAGAAGAATTAGCCGCAAACTATAGAGTACAGGCGATAAAAATGGCTCAAAATGTGCGGAGCGACTTTTTGATGTATAACATTTTATTTTTTCAATGTTAATATAATGATCAACGTTAAATGTCCGTAGAACAGCGAACAGCTATGGCATCATGTGAGGTTTTTCTGTTTCTCCTAGTATACGTGCTAACGGCTATCATCTATATGGGAGCTATGTATGTCCCCTGGAGTAAGAGTATGAAATTTCATGAGCTGCACCGCTTCTGAGATGTCAAATTAAGCTCTGAGGTCGGTTGTCTGCTATATTACTTCGCAGAACCCAGCTCCACTAAAAGTCAACCTTTTGTGTATCCGATAACATACTCTCTGGCCGAGGTACCATTTCCATTACATCAACAACTATGTACATTTACGTAGAAAGTTGCTAAAATTGCTAGTAAAGGTAGCTGGATGAGTTAGAACCGATTATCTGAAAAATTTAGGAGGCTTAAGACATTTCCATAGATTCTTTTGAGAGCTGAGAGTGAAGAGAGCGAAGAGAGTCAACCAGACGAGTGCTATATGGTTGAGAGTCTAGCACTTACCAGCGTTACCATATTAGAAAGTCGGCTAACTCTTATCTCACTTTCAATCATCCCAGACGTGTCTTGTCTGTCTAGATCAAACATCCAGTGTCCCTCATTTGCAGCGCTACACACAGCGTAACTGTTGCTGGGACCACCTTGGAAGGGCATTAATACTGTTTCCAAGTAGATGCGCGTATGGTATTCCATACTCAATTATAATCTTATATGTTGCAGGCAAAGAGTTGAGAATCGGATGGATATGAGTCCCGATGACTGAGGCTTCGACTTTTTAGGCCTCCACTATAAATTTGCTTGGCATCGTTCTTTCCTAATTGGGTAACCGTTTCATCATTTAGTCCATCACAACAAACATATGTACCAAATTGCTAAAATTGCTATTAACTTTCTCGGGATGATGCGAGTCCGATCATATGTATATTTTTAAGCAAGGCTAGTAGTTTATATCGAGAGTTGAGAGTGAAGAGTGTGAAGAGCCAAGAAAGCCAAGTGAAGAAAGTGTGCGGTTGCGAGGTCAGCACTTGCCAGAGCTTCCTAATTAAAAAGTCGCTCAACTCCCTTTTTAACCTTCTTATCCTATATCCTTCTTTCAAGAAAGAGACATCACTAAGAAGAAAGAGAGACTACTATCAATCATCCAGGACCTGGGCGTCTGCATCAAACATCTACAATGTCTCTCATCGAACGTGCTATGCACAGTGAAAGGAGAACCTCTTATTATCATTATGAACCCTCCCTGCCAGTGGCAATTGTTGCTGCTGTCTTGTACACCATTGCTTTTGTGTTGACGGTCATACAATGGATCCGGTACAGGGCCTGGATATGGAGCATTATGGTAATATCTGCAGCCAGTACGTACGCATTTGGTCTACCATTAACTCAAGCTAACGCAAATCTCAGTGGAAGCAATTGGCTACATTGGCCGATGCATCTCAGTCCAAAATACATTGGAGAGACCCGTTTACGTTCTTCAATTTGCCCTCATCATCCTTGCACCTGTCCTCATGGCAGCGTGTTGCTATATCATCTTCAGCCGCATCCTGTTTCTTATCGTTCCCCAAGAGGCACGTACGTTTCGACTATGCTGGGTGCCTCCCCGATACATTACACCTATCTTCGTCGGGTTTGATATCATTGCTCTGATGCTCCAGCTTGGTGGTGCGGTGATGATCACTTCAGTCGATGCCACAGATCTGGATGCCAAAGACAAGCTCAACACTGGAAAACACGTTGCCCAAGTAGGTGTTATTGTCCAATTGGCCGCCTTTGGTTTGTTTGCTGTCGCAGCTGTCCGTTTCAATTTCACTTCCAAGCGTTTCACTGGGTCTCTTAGTGAGCGGTATGAGAATGTTGGAGAGAAGGACTACCGGATTGATGGGATTGTCAAAAACAAACATTGGCCTGCTCTACTGAGAGTTGTCAATCTCACCACGATATTAATTCTTGTCGGTTCTTCACCTTGAAGCCGCCGTTCAACTCACTGACTTGTACCAGGTTCGGTCTGTCTATCGACTCGTGGAATTCACCCAAGGCACGACGGGATATTTGAACACCCATGAGTGGCCTCTGTATATCTTTGATGCCCTGTTTATCTATCCGTGTGTTGCCCTTTTCGTCTACTGGCACCCAGGGAAATATTTGCCGTACCTGGGCTTGCGACTGCCAAAGCGCGCGCACGGTAGCCGTGACTCGGGGATGCGGATGCGATAAGGATCGCGGGGCAGATTAACCTTCTGTGATCTGTGATTTTTGCATATTCTAATGGAGCATATGTGTCTGCTGTGTTCTTCGCCTCAGTATGGTGTATCAATGTGCAATTGTGGCCGACGGTGGTTTAGATTCGCAAGAAGCACGGAACCATGTTCCTACTGGATCGGATGGGAATGTACCGTATTCGCCTCGTGCGCATTGCATCGGAAATATGGGTGGGAATTTTGGATTGCTCTTGGGTGATGGCTGAGAAGGATGCCCATATGCCTACTTGATCATCTGGCACGCGCGTTGACACAAATCATATTATATTATGACTCAATGATTCTTGAATATAGATATATGAAGTAAGCTAATATAGACAGAAAGCAAAAGAAAATGGAAAATGGATCCAAGCAAGGTTGCACTTCGCCCCGTATAGTTCGAGCAGTAAGGCCAGATGTGGGATATCGTCACAACTTCTAAAATCAGCTCTAAGTCCTATATGCCTTTCAAGGGCCTTATCTAAAATAAAAAAATCCCTTAAAATCCCTTCCAAATAACTCAAATGCTCCATACTTCCCCCTGGTATGCTTTGAAAGCGGTACCTGACTCCAGGGCTAACGTGGGTCCGACCTGGATCCTTCCACCACCTTGGCCTCTTACGCAACCACCTCCAAGTCTCTGGACACTCTTCAATTCCCGCCATGATAGAAAATCTATAGAGTGAAGGAGATAATCATGGAGGGACTATTCACTCTGCTCGCTCTGAGCATTGTGATGGCAATTACGTGAGCCTGTCTTTAGAACATTGGAAACCTAAGGTTCAATTGGAAGCTAATGCTCTGGATTATTGGCAGATCTTTTGTCGTCGGCTCATTACCACTCGCTTTTACACTGTCGCCCTCTCAACTCCGCTTAATATCGTCCATTGGTATGGGCGTTCTGGTGGGGACGTCGTTGATCGTGATTATCCCCGAGGGCATTGAAACTCTCTACAGTGCAAACTCCCTCACTCGCAAGCAACACAGCACACGGGCGACCGCTATCGAATGGCAGCACCAGGCCCCGGCCGTGGCCACTTTTATCGATAACGGAGACAGCGCCTCAAATCTACCTTCCGATACCCCTGTCCCGGGTCTCCTTTTGGAAAGGGACCAACTCTCCGAGTCGCAAACACTTTATGTCCGAGCGGAGGACTCGACTGGTGAAACAACGGGCAAGGATACAATTCACGGAGAGGAGGAGAGTTCGCCGCATGCGTGGGTCGGAATCGCCCTCATTAGTGGTTTCATTTTAATGTACCTTGTCGATAAGCTGCCCGAATTCGCAACGCCGACTAAACACGAACGGACTCCTTACCATATCTCGTTGGATAACCTTGGATCTGGGTTGCGGCGGGGTTCCTCCCCCTCGCGTGATGGACTACTTGATGCGAATCACGCTTCAAGACGTGGTCACAGCTTTGCGACCACGACCGGCCTAGTGATTCACGCCGCGGCGGATGGTATTGCTCTAGGCGCTTCCAGCTCGGATGCCGGGCTCAGTTTTATTATCTTTTTGGCGATCATGGTGCATAAGGCTCCAGCGTCTTTCGGATTGACATCCATCCTGCTCAAGCAAGGGCTGTCAAGTCGTACCGCGAGAGCGCATTTGCTGGTCTTCAGTCTTGCAGCTCCTTGCGGTGCCTTGGCCACTTTCCTTTTTGTACAGATGATGGGATCTTCCGGTGCCGATGAGGCAGGCACTCACTGGCGCACTGGAATGCTACTGCTTTTCTCTGGGGGAACCTTTTTGTGAGTCTTCTTTCGTTGATCATATTGACCCTTTTATTAATCTGTGTAGGTATGTCGCGATGCACACTATGCAAGAAAACGGCCCGGGATCATCCCCGCGCGAACTTCCTATCAACGGATATGGTGACCGAGACCAGGATGGATCGGACAAGTCTATGAGAGACTTGATTGCATCTGTTTTGGGCATGATCTTGCCGCTCTTCTTGCAGATTGGACATGCTCACTGAGTACTGTATTCCTTGGGGATATGTGATAATGTTTCTACATTTTTGCTTTTTCAACTAGATTTTGGAGGGCTTATACCCATTGCAAGATATAGTTTGGAGATGGGTTCTAGCTGAGATAAATTGAGATTATGGGAGGATATGTTTGAATAGATGTATAACTGCTTTTTGGGTATTATGTTGGTCATAATTGCATGATATCTCACGATCACATCTACGTAGCGTCACTCTCGCCCTATTTAAAGCCTGACAGATCCCCTAATCTTTGACTTCCCCGGGGGTAGTCCTTTTTTATGTCTGGGGGGTGATGACAAGATTCGTCAGTCTCGTCAGTCTGAATCATCCCGTTATTCACAGGTTCCATGGTCCAATTTCCGATAGCCGCATGCTAATCCAAGGCCTTGGATCTATATATTCTCGTGAGTATCGTGAATATATGGAATATCAGGTTGCTTTTCCAGTTTACAAGATTCAGCCCTGTAGATCAATGACTTTGGTGGGCCAAACCTTCGGGTTTACGTTCTCGACGCCTCCCCGTTGCCTCTTTTGCCATGATCTCCCCCAAAAGGAAATCTCAGGCAAACCAGAAGGCAAAAAAAAAAAGAATGGATGAGAAAAGAAGCAATCTGTGCTGGATATGCATAAGATTCAGATAATTCTCATCTGATTAGTCCGGAGAGGCTTTGCTTTGTCAGAATCACGACACCCCGGCGCCTCCGCTTGAAATGTCCCTTTTCCTCATCGCCCTTTTTTCTCATTGGAAGTTGATTTCGTTTGAATGAAAAGAAACAGAAAAAAAAGTGCCCTCGAAAAAAAAGAAAACTGGGTGGCCTCGATACTTTCGGAGGATTATATTGGTCTCACCTCCCTTCCCTCGGCCGTTCACCTTCTCCTCATAACCCCGAACCCCATACTCCCGATTTCCGACTCGCTTATAACTCTATGCCGACCGTGAACGCTAAGGGTGCGTTATATCAATAACTATAACAAGGAGGACCATATTCGACTGTGGCGGTCTCCCCCCTGTTCTGTCGCCATGGACTCCCATCGGGCATCATTCAGCGACATGGGAGATGGGTCGAATGCGCACACATCAGACCAGTTGGATCTTCATAACGATGCGTCCCACGACCCAGTCAGTACTTTCGCCAGTACCCCATCCAGATCACTCAGCACCAAGAAAACCGTTACTCCTTTACCCGCCAACCTACTTCCTTCAGCGCCCGCATCACCCCCGACACCCGCGCCCAGCCCTACCCCCCATCAACGACCACCAACTTGGCACTCGACCGACGATGAAGAGGCCAGCTTTCTGTTAAACCTTCGTATTCACTTCAGTACTCTATCAAACGCCCGAAAACAGAAACTCCTGGAGGGTCTTTTGGACGTATGCGACAGCCAGCAGCTGAGCTTTGTCTCGAGTTACGTCGGTCCTCGATTGAGGAAAGACCCATTCCAGGTTTTTCCTAATGAGCTATGCTTAAGAGTGAGCTCTTTGGTCGAGTCTCTTACTATTATGTACTAATGTTGAGTCTACTTAGGTTCTCTCCTTTATCGACGATCCCAAGACTCTCGCCCGAGCTTCACAAGTATCACGGCGTTGGCGAGAACTATTAAATGATGACATCACTTGGAAAAACCTATGCGAGAAACATGCATACTCGGTGCGACGGGTGCTGGAAGATGAAGGGGACCTCGTCGACCCTTTCACCGCCCATCCCGTAGACTCGGCGGGCGCACGTACCTTCGGCGGCCTGCAGCGGCGCTTGACCGCGTCAAATGGTAAGGCCACCGAGAGCGCACCGGAACTTCCCCGCACGCTTTCCGGAGAATGGTTGCCTCCGACAAGCTTCTCCCGAAGACGTCGGACTCGGCCTGTCTCCTACCGTTCACAGTTCAAGCAAAAATACATGGTTGAGTCGGCGTGGAATAAAGGTGGTCGCTGCACCCAGCGCCACATCACTCCTGACCAGGGTGTGGTGACAAGCCTTCATCTCACTCCAAAGTATATTGTGGTTGCTTTGGATAATGCGAAGATCCATGTTTATGATACCAACGGTGACAACCAGAAGACGCTCCAAGGCCATGTGATGGGGGTATGGGCGATGGTCCCGTGGGATGACATTTTGGTCAGCGGAGGCTGCGATCGCGAAGTTCGAGTATGGAACATGGCTACTGGGTAAGACAGAACCCTCACGACTTGCATAAATGAAAACTAACGCATGATAGCGCGGGGATCCATCTCCTTCGGGGCCACACATCAACCGTCCGTTGTCTAAAGATGTCAGATCGGAACACAGCCATCTCAGGATCCAGAGACACCACCCTTCGGATATGGGACCTGGCGACAGGGACATGTCGCAACGTTCTCGTCGGACACCAAGCCAGCGTGCGGTGTCTGGCCATTCACGGCGATCTAGTCGTGTCAGGCAGCTATGATACGACTGCGCGGATATGGAGCATATCCCAAGGACGCTGTCTTCGCACCCTTTCAGGACATTTCAGCCAGATCTACGCTATTGCTTTTGACGGCCGGCGGATCGCGACTGGAAGTTTGGATACTAGTGTCCGGATCTGGGACCCGCACTCTGGGCAGTGCCACGCCATTCTACAAGGTCATACGTCTTTGGTTGGTCAGTTACAGATGCGGGACGACACGCTAGTAACAGGAGGCTCCGATGGCTCTGTCCGCGTTTGGTCGTTGACCAAGATGGCGCCGATTCACCGTCTTGCGGCCCACGATAACAGTGTCACTAGTCTTCAGTTTGATAAGACCCGTATTGTCAGTGGTGGCAGCGATGGCCGTGTCAAGGTTTGGAACCTACAGACTGGTCAGCTATTGCGGGAGCTTTCTACTCCGGCCGAGGCTGTTTGGAGAGTTGCTTTTGAAGATGAAAAGGCAGTCATTATGGCGAGCCGATCTGGCCGCACAGTTATGGAGGTACGTGCTGATGTTCTGTTTCTATGGAAATATGTTTCTAATACATCTCGCAGGTCTGGTCTTTCTCTCCACCGCCAGAAGACTACGATGATACAGCTATTGAAAGTGCTTTAAGCACTCCAGGCCTCAGTTCCGTTGATAACCGGGAGCTGGCTGCTCCACCTCGACGTCGAACCCTCTGCTCCGACCCTCCACCAGCAATCCCATTAGGCACTGATAGCGATGCAGCTATGCCAGACGCGCCCTCCTCCTAATACCTTAGCATTTCTTGGTCTGATCTGACCTGGTCTGATTCAATCTGTTTGATTTGATATCCCGCCATCTAACGATTACGCATATCCATTTGTTTTGTCATATTTATCTCCCCATCTTTTTGAGCGCGGTGTGTTTTTATCAACAGTGGGTGCTTTGCCTTCAGAATGAACTGCCGGCGTTCCTCCCTAGGTGTTTCTAGAGCACCAAGCGGTTGCATATGTATTTGGTGTTGCAAATCTGTTTGGTGACCGTGTCTTGGTAATTTGCCCAGACTGGTGATGCCATACTGGAGTTGTGAGATCTTTTTTTACCTTGTTTTTATTCCATATCAGCCATTTCGGAGTGCTTTTGTGGTTGAGTACATGATACCTTTTTGGAACACTTGGAATGTGATTTATATACCATCTAGTCCGATGAAATCTATATCATTAGCATTCCCCAAATTTCCGATGTCTGGGCCAATGTGAAATGACTAAGCGGGTTGGGGTGCCGAGGTTTAGGAAATGTCCTACACGAAACTCAACGTCTCTTAGACCTTAACGCGAGCATTGATCGCTGAAATACACGAGAACTTTGCGATAGAAAAGCCATTCGCACATCCTTTAAGATGTGCATGTGTTTCGTTCCGACTAGGCAGCGGAGTTGATCCAGTTATAACCGATGACAAACGGCCGTCCTGGACCTTTGTGGAACCCAGATCAAGTCCGACCTGTTTGTTACTGGAAGCCCCTTTGCGGTTTCTGTCGAAGTACCCGCAAGTCTTAGAGGTTCTCCGACGATTGCCTGCGGATGAACGATGGTCTATGGGGGCAAACCAAGTACCGGATGTTACCTATGTCGCAAGCGGAAGATAAAGGTATGTCTCAAGCTTCAATATTGCGTTTTCGATTTACCCCACCAATCAGCATGTGCTGCGTCTGTACTATATACTCTTATTTGCAAGCATTGAATGGCCAGGTGCTAAAAACCTCCCTTCAAGTGTGATGAAGCCCACCCGGAGTGCCGGAACTGCATTATCTATGGTCGCCCATGTCCAGGGTACCGGCCGGATGCTGTCTTCCGCAACGAGACCTTGAAAGTCGAGCGGCTGGTGAAGAGCAATGCCATCGCAAATGCCCACAGCAATATCGACAGCCAAGACAGCTCCTCAACCTCGGACACATCTATATCAGCCGTCTCGCATCGCCAACGCACAGGCCCACACGGAAAACACCATGGCAAGACTGCACTGACGCTATACTCGCCCGCTGACTCCACCTGGGAACAGAGAGCACTGTGCTACTTCTTCGACCAGTACACTATCAAAGATTGCGAGGACGGCGGACATCTCGACTATCTGCCCCCGCTGTACGCGCGCGAGCTCGGTCGTCAGAGCGGCGAATCGCCATCTTTCTGTTTCCGGTGGGCGCTCGATGCCACGGCGTTAATGACTCTCGCCAATGCTAAGAATGCGCCGTCTCTCATGCACAAGGCGCGGCAGGGCTATGGGCGGGCTTTGCGGGGATTGCAGGAGGCGCTGGCGTCACCGGCTAATGCGATCAAGGATGAGACTTTCGCTTCGGTTGTTTTGCTTTCGTTATATGAGGATGTATCGGGTGAGCGGAATGGATTGTTCAGCTCACATACGGCCGGGTTTGAGTTCTTGACGAAACTCCGTGGAAACACGCAGATTTATCATAAGCGTGGTCGAGATATGCTTACTTTTGCTTATGCACACACGGTAGGTTTGTAGTAAGGTTCTGGCATCAGAACTGACATATATGACTAAATATCGGTCTGAGACTGACCGTTATATAGTATGTTGAAACCCTCGCATTGGGAGATAAACCCCGCTTCGACAACGAATGGGTCCTCGGCATGCTAGACATCAATAAACCAGTCGAACGGCTCATGCTGGCCGCATCAAAGCTCTGCCAGTTATTTCTACACATAAGATCCTCACCAAAACCCCCAGGCCAAGCAACCGTCGAATCATGGATCACAGCAGGCCGCGAGTGCGATATCGAACTCTCCCAGTGGACACAGACCCTCCCAAACCGCTGGCTCCCATTAGTCGTCTACTCGGCACAGGGCGAGCCCCTCCTAACCTACAACCGCATCTCCAACGCCGTGGTCTGGAACTATTACCGAGCAGTGCGCGTGATGATACAGCAGCTCCTACTCGGTCTAAACAGCACACTTACCTCCATCAAAGCGGCCAACAAACAATCTTCCGATTCCCAGGATACAAGCACCTTTGAACCCGAACCCGAGTCTGAGTCCGTTCTCGACGAGCTAGCTTTGCAAGCCATCATCCACGAAATGACCACAGACGTCTGTCGTAGCATCCCCTTCGCCCTGGCCGACGTCGACTCCCTCGGCCGCCCGAATAAATCAGATAGCCCGCTGCAAATGCGCGCTGCGCAGGGTTACGGCTTGCTCTGGCCTCTTTGGTATATTCTCTCTTCTGGTATGCCGACCCCGGCGCAGGTGGAGCTGATCCGCACTGTGCTGTCGCGTGTCGGATCTACGCTGGGCATTAAATTAGCGTTGATTCTTGCTCGGGAGGCGGAGCGTATTCGTGGAGAGCAGGATAAGGCGCAAGGTGAAATCGTTGGACGAGATTTACCACGCGGTGCGTGCAATCTCGACAGTCAAACTTGATTCATGGGTTTAGGTGGGCTACTGGCAGGACTTACGGAAAAATAAAAAGTCAAAATTTTTCGATATAGGCTTTTCTCTAATGTCTAATGCTCTGCCGCGGGTATTTCTCTATTAGTCTTTTTTCTATATGTGAGGGTGGATTTAAGGGAAGGCGGTACTATAACTTATATTCTTTTTCATTTTTGTGATAATAACTTCGAGCAGGTACTCTATGTGAGTGCCTAGCTGTCATTCGTGCGAGGCCGGCCCGCAGGGTCGGCCCTAGCTGCTTGTATAATAGGTATATATATAAAAAATCTATAAACCCTATAAAATACGATATACTTAATAGGATATATAGCGATCTAGGAGGACTATTGCCCCCTATATATAATAAATATATATACTATATAACCTTCCTAGAATGGTGGGTTGGGAGAAGAAATCGAATCGACCCCTCATCAAATCATATGGAAGTGGGAAAGGATGTACGAGTTGGCTGGGCAAACACAAGCAAGCCCCATGTCCCGCCCCCAAAGGTCCCTTGGGATATCCTTCACGTAAGTGGGCGGAAGACATAAAACAATGCGATGGATGTGTTAAGAGCACCGGTGGCCTTTTTCACACAAGGTTGATTATTTTTCATGTCAAACCTTGAGCGATCAATCGCTAGTGATCATATTGGAGACAGATATCACACAGCAATAATAGGGCAGCGATCATGGTCCATAACGTTGAACCAGCTGATTGTGTAGTCCATCCCTTCTTGTCGCAATTTCCACACCCGTTGAACAACATTTGCAGCGGCGGTGAAAGCGGGTATTGAAGTACGAGCTCCAGTGGAAGAGATCCAGTCAAGTAGACCAGTTTGCAATTCCGGCTCCAGAGCTTCGCATGCTGCAATAAATGCTGGCCAAAGTAGCGAAGCTTCCATATGGTCTTTTGATGTACAATAATTCTCGCTTTTTCTGATGAACCCGAGCACCTTTCGAACCGTGTCCTGGAGAATCAAAGCATTCATGTTGTGCATTCGTCGGTAGTAGAAGAGAATCAAACCTTGATGCACAGCTGAACTCAAACAAATTTCTGCCTTTACCTTCATATATTGAGGATTCGTCGGCGGCAGATCTTCTCGAGAGCCCGACAATTCCAAGTCTGCTCTCCAAGAAAGGACCTGATACTCAAGTGTCTTTGTTCGTTTGTTCAAGGTCAAGACAAGATCAATATTAATGGTGGTATCCCGATGCAGAAGCTCTTGCTCGTTTGCGAGTCTAATGGTTTGAGATAAGAGGCCGACCAAAGACTCTGGCAGACCGTAAATCTCCTGGAAAAGTGATTCCTTCCAAACCCCCAGTATCTCCAGATGAATGTCATTGGTGCCGACATGGAAGGCCTTCTCAAGTGTTGCATTCAGGTCGGAAATTGTGCTATCATCTGCCACTCGAAAACTCCGCAAGGAACTGAAGGTTACTTCGTTTGACGCGAGCCTGGCGCTGGGTCGCATAGGACATATGTCCATGAGAGCACATCCACAGGTACTTTCGGCCATTATGCGTATATAAGTGTAGACGTGATGCAGGATGCGAACTTTAAGTGACTTGTGGGCTTTTGGTAAGCCTCGTTTTCGAATCAGGCATTCGGATTCTACCAGAAGGTTTTGGGCGTCGGTATAATTTCCACAGCGAATCTGGACCGGAGATGGAAATCAATTAGTAAGATTAACCAAATGCTCAGGTGGTTGCGTATAGTTGTTACCTCAAGCATCACCGTTGATAACAGGGCCATCAGCAATTCCTTGTATTTCACTTTTTCTTCTGAAGCAATCTCTTGCTTGATACTCTGTTCCAGATAATGACGGGAAAGCTGCTTGTATTCATTCCCATCTTTTTCGTAATCTAGGCTGTGATCTTCTTTCGACGAGAGATGAAAACAGCTGCCAGCTAGGAGGGAGTAGAAAAGAGAAATCCCGGTATTACTGGCAGTTTGATGAAGTAAAAGCTCCGCATATGCTTTCTCGGCTCTAGGGAGGTGGATCGTCTGCCAAGGGCACCGCTTGTTGCCTTTGAGGGGGTATGACAGCGAGCGAACTTGATATTTGAAATAACGGATAAGCTGTGGCGCTCGCTCCGGCATGGCGTAAACTTCTCTTGGAGTCGCTGTGGTGAGCGATGTGATTGAGAAAGGGCCAGTATTGAGAGAATCCAATGTTGAAATGTTCTTTTCTCGATTGTTCTTAGAATAAACCATGGTCGCTATTTCAGAAGTCGAGCTTCGATTCGGCGAAGGAGCCAGTCCATAATCATGAGGGCTAGGGGTGCATGACTCTGGTGTCCAAATTCCAGGAGGAGCATCTTCGAGTTGAGAGACCATTATGTTTTGCCATGGCATCACTTGTCGCGGGCTTGTGGTTATGGCGGGACTTGGGTTCGATTCCACGTTGCCGATCGACTGGCTGTTGTCTGAGGAAATATTCAAAACACCGAAGGGTCCCCGTGAGAAAATCTGCAACGGAGAGGCGGCTAGAGTGTGATCTTCACGATCAAGTTGTTCAAGAGCTGCATTCGCACTCTGGCATTGAAGACTCTCCACGGTTATTCGAGCCATAGATTCTTGTTCGATCTCTGTGCTTGTTAACAAATGCGCCATTATGATTTGCAGCCTTATGACTTGCCTGAGAACAACGGCCGTCGGAAAACACGGTCCCAAGGTTCCTCTTTCTGTCGGGGTTTCGATTGTAAGTGGGTATACTGGGTCCATTTCAATTGACTTTGGTAACCAGGACATGGCACTCCCAATGTGAAACACAGCTGGCAACCCGGCCGAGTCTCGTCACATTTCAAATGTCGTGACCGACATGTGCTGCACCCTGTCAGAGAGCGATTGCGTGGTGTCATGGTGTAGGCCTTGGGTGGCCAAGAGATATGGTGGGGAAGGAAGTTCTTTGAAAAAGGCAAAGAAAGACGATTAGTCATCATGACAAGCACGCTCGGACCACATGACCTTTCAAGGTCGGCAGCCAAGAGCGGCCAGGTGTCAATTTCGGCCTGAGGCATTAGATGCATCTAGTGTTTGAAGGCTTGTTCGACCTTTAAACCTGCATTTATCTTCTTAATCATTTACCACTTCTTTTTCTTGGAAATTTGATCCATGCGCAACAAATAGTTTAGATGGGACAAATGAAGTGCAACCGCTTCGCAATTCGCATTTCCCTGGCAATCTCTTCAACCGCAGATGTGGTGGGCAAAATAGGCAATCATTAACTCCGGGCTCCTCAAGGCTCCAGTGCTTCTATGAGACAGAGTCCAATTTTTACTGCAGGAATGGCTTAGTCCCGATATCTTTTAGATCTATGTTATTCTCATCACGATCTTTCCATTGCTTGTTCTACCGGTATGGCTCAAGATCCCCGATATATATGAAAGGATAGTCCTAACCCCAAGTCCATACAGCGAAGATCGCCAGTGTCTACATCCCTCCTAGTACGGTCACAAACTAAGTTCGTCCCTTTGACTAGCAGGTTCTGTCGTCAAATTTCACATGACACCCGACTGAAAATAGATAAAGCCGTGGCAGCTGCTCCGATCGTACCGTTCATGAAAGGGACACCCGAGATACCACAGTGTGGTTTCTCGCGCGCGATCATCTCAATGCTAGGGCAAAAAAGGCGTGGATCATCAGAAGTTTGTGGCTTACAATGTGTTGGATGAGTCGGGGCTAAGAGAAGGTATCTTATCATTGCTCTTCCCTTCACTTGTACGAATTTCCAGTCACGATTCTACTTTCGCATAGACATCAAAAGGTTATTTTATTGACCAGCCATTCCTCAGCTTTATTTGCATGGAACTCTTATCGGAGGTCACGGCATTGTGATGGAAATGCACAATGCCGGAGAGCTGAGAAGGATGCTCCGAGAAGATAGAAAGCCTCAATCTACAGAAAGGCGAGCAAAGTCGTATGACCACATTGACAATGTCTCCTAATTATCTGTCAATTTGCCTACAGATCATTCTTGATAATATGTTAGGGCTCTCAGGTCATATCAAGCAACCACCCTGTACCTAATACTGTATCGACATCGCTGTCATTCCCGCATTATGATATCGCTCAAGGCTTCACATCTTTCCACGAGACCAAGGCAGACAGAGAGAAACTTGAAACGATATTATCTTTAGTCCAATCCTTATATGATTTGCACACCCCAAATAATATTACATGCTTTGCAAACGGTGAATTTCTGACGTCGTGAGAATCCTGAATGGTATTAAGAAATGACCGAATTCCAAAGGGTGATGTGGCAGCATAGTCGCTGTAGAGCTCTACTACACTAATTTAATGGTGTCTAATCATTCGAAGTGTTTGGAACATCAGTGATCAGAATCAGGCCAGCTTCTCAGTCGGCCTTGCGCGGTGCGACGTCGCCTCAGACAAAACTACCCGTGGGATCTCTTCATCAATTCCGTGTTGTTCCGGGAACCATCCAAGGAGTTCCCGAGCCCGAATTGCTTGGTACCGGGCATTGGTTCCCCAAATCACTGATCCATGAGGGGTAAGTCGGTCTGCAGTCGTGGCATCAATTTCGGCCACTTCAGGTGACTTGATGAAGCCTTGGGAATGGGCAAATGTTGATATTTTCTTAGCGATATCTCCGAAGGTCTGAGTAGAAGTGTAAATCATTAGAACTACGCCATCCGTACTTGTCAGGTTAACTCACAATATTTCCTGACTCGGCGAAGTAGACACCATTCTCATTCCAAAGCTGCGGGTTCTTGGCCTTGGAAGCTTCACAAGCCAGCTTCACAACCAGGTTCGTCAAGTCCGCGATGTGAATCGTGCTCCAGGTGTTGAGGCCACGGCCCACATGGAGACCGCGACCGGCTTGAAGAGATGCTTGGGCAAGGTGTGGGATTTGAATACTGCGTTGATTGATGGGGCCTCGGCCCCTGCCGTAAATGAGTGGTCCGTACACAATGGCCGTGCGAGCACGAGGGTTACTAGAAGGTAGACCCCGCACGAGGTGATCCACAACACGCTTCGAGGAGTTGCCAACAATCTCATCAATATCGGAAATTCCTTGCAGGTCATTGTAGACCTTTGATACAGGCTGGCCAAATGTCTTAGTCTGCACTTCCGAACCGGCTAGCATACTGGCGCCGGCAATCTGAATCCAAGCTAAAGTTGATGTTAACAACGGGTTCCTCGCAACTCAAGTTGATTCACAAGGCAATACACTTACTTGGGGTTTCCTGTTTACTGGTGGAAAGTCCTTCAGCGATGGCCTTAGCGCTGGCTTCATGGCTTGAGCTTGCCAAGTCTGTTTGCTCATATAATAATAAGCGAGAGAAATTTTTGAAGGAGACCGTTAAAATACGTACGAAGAACAATATCGGCCTTGGAAGCCGCTTGCTTAATCTCCACGCTCGAGTCCAGATCGCCAAGGAGTGGTGTCACCGTGGGGAATCGCCCGGTAACTGCAGCTGCTTGGCTTTGGTTGCGCACAAGCGCAACAATCTTGGAGCCCGCCAACGTTTGGGTGAGGCCATAGAGCACATCGCCGCCGATGAAGCCGGTGACACCTGTTCTGTTTTAAATTAGATCCAGTCGGTCAATGATGAAAGTGAAAGTACTTACATGAAAATGCTGCTCATTTTGCGTGAAGTAAGTTGTAGGAACGGTTGATGGGATTTTGTGAAAAGCAATAAATGTGTAATTGATGATGATGAAAGGTCTTTCGATGTCATGCGTTGCTAGACTTCTCATCATTTCGGTCATGGCAGACCGTATGTATAGTTAGGGTCGGGGTCAATATTACATAATCGCTCGGACCTGCCTATTTCTGGCGATGGCAAGGGATTCCGAACTGAGCGTCGACACAGAATCTGGAAATCTATCGCGAAGTAGATATCTCCTCTTCAACACCAGGTCAATAACGAGTATGGGCCAATCAATCGCGGAGTAGCCATTCTGTTCTTGTGTTGTAATTGATTGACATAATATGGGATTGAGTAGTTCCCCATGTATAAAGGAGTCTGGATCTCTTCCCAACTCAAGAATATATTTAATCAACTTCATTCCGCACCTAGCGACTTTGGCATCACATTTTCAGCCTCAACTGGAAACATGGCTCCTGCAACTTACACCCCCTCGCCATCCCGGGAGCACTATGATGTTGTCATCATTGGAGGTGCCACCAGTGGCTCATCCATCGCCTGGCACCTTAGCCAAGACCCCGATTTCAAGGGCTCTGTTTTGGTGGTCGAGCGGGACCCTTCTTTACAATACTCCGCCTCAAAGGCGAGTAACAACTGCATGAGACAGCAATTCGCTACCGAAATCAATGTCAGAATCGCGCAATACGCCGCGGAATTTGTGAACAAGTTTGGCACCGAATTCGGTCCGGATCCTTGCGTTCCCAATCCACCTATTAGAAACTTCGGCTATCTCTATCTGTCTGATTCACCTGAATTTACGGACATTCTGCAAAAGGACCAGGAGCTACAGGCCAGCTGTGGTGCCGGCACGGCTATCATTTCTGTCGCAGATGTCAAAAGCAAGTACGGGTGGTTCAATATCGATGACCTCCACTCTGCAAGCTTGAACACCCAAGATGAAGGGTGCTTCAATGCTATGGGCATGATCCAATGGATGCGCCACACTGCGTGCGAGAGTGGCGTCGAGTACGTCGATAACGAGGTAGCCGACATGCTTGTCGAACAAGGTCGCGTCAGCGCCATCACGTTGCACAGCGGCGAGACAATCTCCACCAACAATGTGGTCAACGCTGCCGGTACCCGCGCCGCTCAAGTGGCTTGGATGGCTGGCATTCAGGTCCCTATCGAAGCTCGCCGTCGTTACACCTACATTTTCGAGGTCGACGAGCCACTTCCCGAGGATCTGCCTTTGACCATCGATCCTAGCGGTGTGCATTTCCGATCATATGCCGCGAAGGACTATCTTGTGGGCTGCCCACCTATCGGCCCCGATAACGCGGTTGATGCCGACGACTTCAGCTTTGTGGAAGACGCCTGGAAAAAAAAATTCTCCCGATTATCTCCCACCGTGTGCCTCAATTCAAATCGGCTCGTGTCACTAACAAATGGATGGGACACTACGAATTCAACACATTCGACTGCAATGCTATTGTTGGTCCCCATAACACCATTTCCAACTTCTTCTTCTGTGCTGGATTCTCGGGACACGGTAGTCAGCAAGCACCCGCTTGTGGGCGCGCAATTTCCGAACTGATTGTCCATGGTCAATTCAAAACGTTGGATCTGGGTGTTCTATCTTATTCGCGCATTCCCGAGGGACGGCCCCTGACTGAACGTGCGGTGATCTAGATAATTGTCAATTTCTAATGGTACCTACCTAAACACTTGCATCTATGAAGACCACAAAATCGTCGTACTATATTTGAACTTGAGACACAATCTTTTCAGTAGTTGGAAGTCAAAAATAATGTTATATATCGTAAAAGCAATGCAGCGATGGAGATCCACACCCATATGGGGATCTCTTAACCAAAGAATTGGCCCGTGGACCTCTGCATAAATTTGATATCTCATTTGATGATAAACGATGTTCCAAGCCCTGGAGCGTTCTGCCTTCAGTTACTGAGGTGCCATGGACTCAAAACCCTGGAAGTTGGGTTGTCTCAAGAGATCGATCTCTCCAAAGCGCTAGACTTCAGGGGGGAATCCCGGTCAAGATTTGGCAAATATTTGGAAGGATGGTCTTTTTTTTACCATCCAGGTATCCACCCCGGTAACTTTGGAGTCGAGTACAGTTCTGGCAAATTCAGAGTACTCAGGTCCAGGCATTGAACGCTGATGATTTTGAGCGACGATCTAACAAGAAGGCCTACAACAGAACTTAATCAATTCCGGGTGGTAAAAGAACAGGGTTCTCTCGGATATGATAGCATAATCTATAGAGGAACAGTCTCCTTATCTTTGTTTGCCCTGACTCCGTCTTGATTACTACCGGATCACGGGCCGGGACAGCTGAATGTCTCACGTTCAACTATCATAGAGTAATCAGGTCAAGGCCATTTGTCACTGTATGAACCGGGCCGGACAGAGCAGACACCCGGGGCCACCTCTCCCAAGCTTTACAACTTAGTAAAAAATCTACATCATCAATTTCTTTGGGTGAATTTGTACGATTATGTAATCGCCTTCGGCTGCCTGAATGTCCGATTCCATTCCTCGACGAACAACCTTGGTCGCCGCAACAGGTGATCCATAGATAAACCTAACTCGATTGGTTTCATACCCTGATGATTACTCACCCAGTCTGCCTCCGGTGTAGGAGTGATATCACCCCAATCAAGTCAAAGTAGGCAGTTCCGATGGTAGTGACGTCTCTGTGATTCGTGGGAGTGTGCGCAGGTGTTGAACGTCCCCCTGGGACTAACATACTTGGTAACTATGAAGTACCGGAAGCACCTGCCTTGGAAGTATTGTCTTTGCCTGGGCAACTGCATCACTAACTGCTGTAGCGCAGCGGTGCCCCTCAGGGTCTTCTGAGCAAGCTAGGAAGTTCGCTATCCATCGGCACCCCAATGGATGTTTGTTGCGCTAGAGATTAAAAATTCGATTGAAAGTTCTAAACAAACCTTCTAACATCTCTAGTCTTATAATATACATCGTTTTAAAATTAGCCCCCGAGTCAAAAGTTGAAGGATGTCCCCAGGTCCGTGCCAGGAAGACCGAAAGTCACTCAATACGCCCAAAGCCACGGCCATCTTGATCTCTAATTTGACTGCAAGATAACCCCACACCCTCTTACAAATCCCAAGTGCTTCAATTGTTCCTTCCCTTCTGTTGCGTGGCCGATATGTTATGCTCCAATAGCCCAACATGGAAGTTGGGAATAGGGGGCTCACCAGGTCACCAGGTCACCAGGTGGTGGTAATTACTAGTAAGAAATTACTAGTAATAACTAGTAGTTTATGGGGGTTACCACAGGAGGGGTTCTAGGGAGATAAAATTGTCTGACCTAGTGAGCTTCTCACCAGGTCACCAGGTCATCCCTAAGTTCTTTCCCCGACTCCACGCCTAAAATAACTCTCTCGTTCTGGTTGCGAAAGCCGATGGATGTCCAGCAACCGTATATAATCAAGACGAGCGGGCCATCCTCCAGTGTTAGGGCGTCAATGATAGATAATTCCACAGAGATCTATATCGATGTTGCGGCTCTAGATCAAGTGGAGCCACGAGCCTACATATTCCGTAAATGGTCCGGCCGCCTCCTTTCTCTCATCTGCCGTATGGGCCTTCAAAAGCAATGCATGGACCGCATACCAAACGATCGCGATCCACAGATCCTTGGATTCCGCTAGCATGCCACTCTCGGCGTCGCCACAGCTGCGTTTGCCTCCATACATTTTGTTGACTGGCACTTTCCCTTCGCAACAAACGCTGAAGTTATCATTTGGCGAACTAACTGCTGCGTCATGTGGGCTCTGCTTGCAAGCTATGGTACCGCCGAAATGATAATTTGTTGTATGGAGAATTACCAGAACCTAGGTATGGATACGGCAGGTGGGTATAAGTTGAGATGGCCAGTATGCCTCTGGTTTTTGGGGCCTGCTATTACATACTTCTTTGCGAGGTCGGTGTTGATTGTAGGGGTTTTTGTGAATTTGAGGAGTCTGCCGGATGAAGCATTTGTGCAAGTTCAGTGGACCAGTGTAGGCTGCTGACATTGGGGCCATGGATGCCCCCGGGGTTGGATGATACGACTTATTAGGCCCTAAACTAACAGTGTAACCTTGGAATCATTGATAAGACCGTGCTGTAATTCGAGTAAAGTAAAGAAAATATACCAATAACAACGTACAGTGGGTGCATTCACTCCACAGCAAACGCATTCTCCTCGTCTGACTCGTCATCCGACTCCGGCAAGAACCCTTTCTTAACCAGTACTGCCTTCATATGATTGTGGTCCTCTGTGGCGCGCGCGATGACTCCTGCAATATCGTTGAAGGTATCAAGGGCATAGGCTTTATCCTTCATACGATACCACTTTAGGGTCTTCAAGGGGCGAGTTATACCAGGTCACATTGAATGGGAGCCCTCCGTTCTTGAGCTTGGGAGGTGCGTCCTTCGCGGCGCCCTCGCTGGACTTGTAGGATGACGAGATCAGACGTGTTAAAATGCCCGGGGTTTTCTTTGTCAAATCCCCTGCAATCAGGTTATATGGTGAAAAAAGAATAGAATCCCCCCTCTAATTGCAGCAGCATTTAAATTTGATATATGGTGTGTTGAATCTATAAGAGAGAAGAAAAACATGAATGAATATTCTCTCCACGAACTCCGAATATGTAGAAGTTTAATAAACAAGGCATCATTCTCAACAATACAGATGACTACATACACAAGAAGTATACTGCACTCTCTAGCCCCGAAGGGCTTTATATCAATATTAATAGTTGATGTGGGAGTATCTCCTTTCACTTTATATCATTTTAATGCTACTATAGTAAGCATTACAAAAAGGCTGTCTCTTCCCTTGGCCTCCTATTTGTAGTTGCTTGAATGCAACACATTGTCCCTAAGACTTCCAGTAGTTACTAGATTTAACTATCAAGCCGTCTATCGTACGAAAGTCATTACAATATTAAGAGCTTATTATTTGCCAGTGTGGTGTACAAGCTACAAAGGACACCTTATATGTAAAACCCACCTATTTTCTTCAGTCTATAGGGATGAGTAGTTCATCCCGAAGAACGCGGGGTTCAAGGAAGCAGAGAATAAGTAGTGAAGGTCACTTCTATTACTATTCGGTCGTCGAATCCAATGCCCGCATTATTCCACACATTATTCTCCGTCTCCAAATTTCCTCAGATGAATATCCCGAAAAGATCTTCTATGGTGTTCATGTCTTGTAGGTGATGGGGAAGCGGGGGAGGGCTCGGACTCGTATATATATTCGCCTTAATCCCAAGCGTGTGAAATGCTAAGTCAATTTCGAAAAGATACTAAATATTCTACATTGACTACAATATGGGCTTTGCTCGCATTTGTCTTGTTTCTATAGTGGCATTCTCCGCTGTCCATGCCAGATTTGTTTCGCAACTATCTGCGTGTGATAGTCTCTTTAGCATGAACCTTGAGCCCGGTTATAGCCTGTATAATACAGCGGTCTTTTCATCTGGCACCTTGAATTCTTCGGGTATCATCAACGAGTTAACCCTTTGTCGAGTCCAAGGAACCATCAGTTACGACACGGAAGATCTCCCCAATCTCAACGGCTCCAACACCCTCACCTGGCAATTGTATCTGCCAATAACGTTTAAATATAATGGCCGGTTTATCGTAGTCGGTAAGGATTCTTCCATACCCAAAGAACAGATCGATCGACTGACATATATGGATCGATAGGAAACGGTGGATATGCCGGTGACATCGACGATGCGTCGATGATGACCCAACTCAACCTCGGATACGCCGTCGCCGGATGTGACAGTGGCCATTCCCTCGCTTCCAGTGGAAACAGCACGTATGCCCCATTCTTGGCCAACGTTGGAGAAGTGAAATCCTGGATCCATAACTCTATCGCAATGACTACGGAGATCACTCGAGCCCTGACCACTGAATACTACAACAAAAGCCCTAAATTCAGCTATTACCATGGATGCTCAACTGGCGGTGCACAAGGCTATGCATTGGCCCAGTTTCACCCGGAAATATTCGATGGGATCTATGCTGGAAGTCCTGGAAATTGGTATACCCACCTGATTCTCAGTTTCCTCTGGAACGGACTGAAGTCACAAGGGAGCGGATACATGAATCAGGATGTCTTGAAATTTATCACCAACCGCGTGCTTTCCGCGTGTGATTCTCTTGATGGGGCCGTCGACGGGCTGATTGAGAATCCCCTGCTCTGTAATTTCGATATCACTCAACTTGAATGTGCATCCCACCATATTCCAAGAACTGCCAGTGGGGCAGTGGTATGTCTCACTTCCGAGCAAGTTCAAACAGCCCAAGCAATGTATGACGGACCTAGAAACACTATCACTGGCGAAGAAATATATCCAGGGTTCAGCTTTGGCTCGGAAAGCAGTTGGCGCGACTTGGAAACGACTTTGTATAAGACCTATTCCACGCTCATACTGGAGGAACTTGTCTTCCATGATATGGCCTACAATATCTCAAACTTCAACTGGGACTCAGATGTCTCCAAAGTCGACAAGACCGCATCACCTTTGATAGATGCAATCTCCCCAGACCTATCCAGCTTCCGGAACAGAGGAGGCAAATTGATCACCACGCAGGGCTGGGCAGATGAGTTCAACGCGGCTCTTTGGCCCATCCAACACCTTCAAAGGATTCAAGTCGCTATGAGTGGAGTCAATGTCGCCGATTTCGTGGAGGTGTTCATGGTCCCCGGAGGCGGACATTGCGGCGCGAATCCTATATATCCCCATGTGCCAGGCACATATCAGGTTCTGGATGTGCTAGTCCTGTGGGTTGAGCATGGGATTCGTCCGAGTCAGATGTTGAGCACCACTCCTCCAGATGGGACTGATCCTACACGTAAGCTTTGTCCATGGCCGGAAAATGCGCGATATATACAGGGAGATGTCGATGATTGGACGTCTTATAGTTGCGCTTAGCTGTATACAGCCCGGGGTTATTTTGGATTTAACTGGAGGAAGATTGCTTTTTATTAAACTAGAACCAACATGAATCTCAGCCAGTCACAATTCTTTGGAATTCCCTTTTCTCCTCTAAATTCGGACGTTCATCTGTCGGGCCAAGACCTCCGAAACCCACACCCATCGGGGATGGGCCCGAAGAGCATCTACCCCAAATCCGATCACGTTGAGAATTAAAGAGAGATGTCTTTAGATCTTTCTAGCTCGATTAGAAGTATCTTTTTTTTTTGTCACCTCCGACAAATTCAATCGGAAAAATCAAATGCTTTTCAGGCGCGATATCCGCATCGGAAATGTTTCCGGCGCAACGGGTGACAGCCCGCATGCCATGCGGCGGATAGCAGAAGACGGCAACGTCGACGTAATAGTTGGCGATTGGCTTTCAGAGATGAACATTGCTTGGAACGCCATAGCCAAAGATCAAGATCCATCGCTGGGCTATGGGCCGGACTTTTTGACCCAACTATCTGAATCCATTGACATAATCGTGGAAAAAGGAATCAAAGTAATCACCATTGCAGGAGCTTTAAATACACCCGCTTTGGCTGCTCGGGTACAGGAGATGTCCCGTGCGCAAGGTCACAAGGAGGTGGTCATTGCTATGGTTCTAGGAGATGATATTTCCCAAGTTGTAACCGATCCTGCCACTCTTGCGGTCTCCTGGTCTGCAGATTACTTCAATGCGTTTGTTCCCCCATATCCACAGCTAAGTGGTGTTGCTAATCTAAAGATACAGTCGCGGTGTTCATTCGGCTATTTTCTCATTTATTGGTGCCATAAGCTTCCTAGCTTCTGCCGTTCTTCCCCTGGACGCTTATTTGGTGAGCAATCCTCTGGTCTACGCACAATATTGTGTATACATGAATGAATAGAGGCCAATGTGAGCTCAACAGCACCGCTATGGTTGCTTGATTGTCGCTACATCGGGTGCATTCTCATGCATTCCTCCCCTCTTGGGCTGGTTGTCTTCCAATCTCCGCTCAACCGCTGGAATTGGGTTAGCCATTGCGATGAACCTTTCCTTTGGGGCACCTGGCCAAATAGTAGGTGTTTGGATCTACAAGTCCGATCAAGCTAAGAAAGGCTTTCCTACTGGCCATTGGACTAATGCAGGGCTACTGCTGCTTGCTTCTATAGTATGTGTTGTTTTGAGGCTGTACTACGGTTGGCTGAACTGGCGATTCCCCCAAGGTCAGATCAGGTATGCCTACTGAGATATTTCAATATATTTTGATGTTTCTGCTTTGAGATATGTCCAGTTATATGTAACAAAAGCGACATATGCGGTTGTTTCACCTCGTAATTATTTTGGGCTATCCATACACGCCCCTAGTTGTATAATGATATCTAATCATTATATTAGAGTTGAGATAGGTCTCTTTCTTTGTCCATTCTAAGAGTCTAAAATGACGTCGACATCGCCAACACATTGCCCAGATAGGTTGATTGCTTCGACTGCATTAGAGCTATGTACTATTTATGTATTTATGCAGGAACTCCGGCTAATTCGGCTTCTGTACTTCTGTACCGGGCCGGATATCATTGACGTCATCGGTATATATGGTAAACTTTGAATATCAGTTAAATCTGTAAAAGAATACAAGAATATACAGAGAATATAGTAAATAAACTAAATTGACAGGGTAAACATATAAGTATGAAGATATATAGGAAGATTCAAATGAGTTCCAGAGATATCGGGACGTGCGGAGATAAGAGGTCGATCACTGACGACATAGTTCCTAGACTTGGGTACACTCTTCCAAGGTACACTCTTTTCTTTTTATTGATCTTACAACTCTCCCCTCTTAAGATTTACATATACAAAAAAAAAAACATACAATGGCTACACAAGAACGCAGGCTTCCCCTTGGGAAGATCGAACCCAACTCCCTCAAGTACTTTCTCAGCTGTGGTTTCGGTGGAATCATCGGTATGTCCAAGCTCTCTATCTCTCACAACACGCGCTAACAATATTACTCCAGCTTGTGGTATGTAACGGTTCTCCAATATACAACAACCTTAATTAACACTCAATCCCACATAGGACCAACCCACACTGCCGTCACACCTCTCGACCTTGTGAAATGCCGTCGCCAGGTTGATCCAAAGATCTACAGCTCCAACATCCAAGCATGGCGAACAATTTTCTCCAAAGAAGGCCTACGCGGCGTCTTCTTTGGCTGGTCGCCCACCTTCCTGGGTTACTCCTTCCAGGGTGCGGGAAAGTACGGTCTGTACGAGTACTTTAAGCACTTGTACGGAAATCAGATGTTCCCGGAATCCAACCGCACCTTGGTCTTCCTCGGTGCCAGTGCCTCTGCTGAGTTCTTTGCCGATATGGCCCTGTGTCCTATGGAGGCTATCAAGGTCCGCATGCAGACCACGCTGCCACCATATGCTTCCACTATGCGCGAGGGCTGGAGCAAGATCGTCGCCAAGGAGGGCTTTAGTGGTTTGTACAAGGGATTGTACCCTCTATGGGCCCGACAGATCCCTTATACCATGACCAAGTTTGCCACGTTCGAGGAGACGGTCAAGCTCATCTACCGCACTATGGGCAAACCCAAGGAGGAGTATGGCCAGTTGACACAGACTGGTGTTAGTTTCTTGGGTGGTTATATTGCTGGAATATTCTGTGCTATTGTTAGCCATCCAGCAGATGTCATGGTCAGCAAATTGAATGCTGATCGTAAAGGTGAGTTTGTTTCTTTCTTTCGGCTGCAGTCTTGATGTATGCTAACCGCCCGTTTGTAGCCGGTGAAGGTGCGATGACGGCTGTGTCCCGGATCTACGGTAACATTGGCTTCTCTGGCTTATGGAATGGCCTACCTGTCCGTATTGTGATGCTGGGCACGTTGACCGGTTTCCAATGGCTCATGTAAGTGTTTGCTCCGTCCTGATTTGTGTGTATAGCGATGCTAACATTCTGCAGTTATGACTCTTTCAAGGTGTTCCTTGGCCTTCCCACCACTGGAGGTCACTAAATAGCCATAGTTCTTGGGGATTTCTGGTTTTTTCTGGAGCAATTGTATATAGCAAGGAGTTAAATGGATAAACATTTGTTAAACAATATTGTGTAGACCGCCTTTGATATCGGGGCAGAATAATGTTGGAGGTCATCGCATTGTTGCCGGCGACGTTTAGCACTTCTTCAATAGGCTCACCATTTCAGTCAATAGACTCACGCACGTCACCGACGACTAATCGACGACTAATAAAGGCTAAATATATTTCATTCCGCTGCCTTCCATTCGATCCTTTACTTCTTCTTCCTCTCTATATTTCACATTACCCCCTTCGCATCGTGCTTTCAGTCAGCTCCGACCAAGGATTCCACTCCAAATACCGCCGCGTCCATAATCCAGTCGCTCTACACGCAAATACCGACCTGATCCTCCTCCTTCACCAAAATGGAAGCCTCCCGCCAACCCTCCTCCATCCCACCAGCCAATCCTCCCAGCGTAGAGATCGCCTACAAGCGCAAATGCATAGCGCTGAAGAAGCGCCTCGCAGAAGTCGAAGCCGAAAATGAAATCATGCGCACCCGCAACCACCGCGGCTCCCAATACATCAAGAAAATGCGCCTGGAAACCTGCATGCTTCTCGAGCGTCTGACAAAGGTCACCGGCATGGCCGACGAGGCAAAGACCGGAGCCGCAAACCCGGAACTGCGTGCCCGCGCAGCTGCCATTATGAATACCGGTGCACAGGGCGGATCTGGGGCGCTTCTGGAAGATGATACCGAGGGTAGCTCTGATGAGCAGCCGCGCACGGTACGTTATTTGCGTAATTCCCCATCTTGTTCAATCCTTCCACTGCCCAACTTATACTATACACCTTTCTCTCTCGACCCGATTGTCTGCTGAGCCCGAGCTAATCTGTTATTTTGTATAGCCGGAGGAACGTCCCCTACGCGTTAAGCGCTCCCGCAAGTCCAACGCCGCCGGAATCGAGGGTCAAGATGATGATCTCCCCGCTCATGATGGACACCCCGAATCTGCAGATCCCGCTGGTGCAGCCCTGCCCCGTCTTGCACCGGCTCCGACACAGGAGTCTCTTACGCACTCTTTCCGTGTGCAGACGGGTAGTGGTGGCTCTGCTGATCAGACTCCTGCTGCTGCTGAGGCTGGTCCTGAGTCTGGGGCTACGCCGATGGATATGGATAAGGAGGAGGTTAAGGAGGCTAAGATTGAGCAGTCTTAATCTCTGGGTTGTGTTTTGTCGTTCTCTTTTCTTTCTTTTTTGGGCTTTGCAGAGTCGTGATTGAGATTCTCTGCTGTTTATTCGGTTTATTTTGTGTGAGGGTTTTAAGCATCAGGTTCGGATGCGGTGCTGGTCTATTTTGCTCATATGTTTTTATTTTTTGTTACATTTGGTGGGCCTTGATTGGGCTTTTCCACTACTCTACGGTTTCCTGGTGTCCATGTCTGGTATGAAACTCATCTGAGAAATCACATGCTGAAAGCATGGTTGAAGTAACTGGCTCCTCCCTTGTAGCTTTTCGATGTCGCTCATATAGATTCTCTTGTACGTGGATACAGTAACTATCACTCAAGGCACTAGTGACATTGAAAAGGTGCATTTCTGTAGGTTTCTATCTATTTGACATTTGAACTCTCATAGCACTATTGTGTGAGGACGTACGAACTACGAATACTTGGTTCCATTTGAAAGAAAGCGCCTGCAGGGTCATTCCGCAAGGTCAATAGCATTTTGATTTGATGAACACTATCTATACAGATTCCAAACGCCGTTTTCCTAGGAAAGAACCCACGTCAACTCCAATACCAGTAAAAAAAGACAACACTATTGGAAACAAGAATGAGATATGATTATCTGGGTATGAATATCTTCTGTCATGTACAGTTGAAGACATAACGAGTTTGGAAAGGTGATACAGATAAGGGTATTAGACTCGGTGCGTGGGTTCGGAATCCCTATGTGGTTGGGATGTCATCGAGCGAGTTCTATTAGGTGTTTGTCCCTGGCATGTGTTTCGTGTGCGATTGTCGATGTAGAATCGCAAATGGTTGCATCACAAGGCACATAAGAAATATGCCAGTAATACATATCATAAAAGACTAGTATTCTCGGCACAATTGGTTGGTCGAGACGAGGGACTGCTTGATGAGCACATTCTTTGTCACTCTAGTCTACTCCAGCGTAGAGATCAACAACAATGTTGAGTCCAGCCACAACAATCTCGGCGGCAATCAACACGATGACTGATATTCGTTAGATGGGTCGTTATTATAAATCATAGCTGCAGGAGCACTTACCAATCCATTCGAGATACTCGCCATGGCGATGTGTCAATTGATCCTTTAGGACTGCGAGAAGATCCGCAATGACATCCAATCGTTCCGTCAGCAGACCAACACGCTGATCCATCTCCAGGTAGCTTCGGACGGCCTGGTAGACAGGTTCCAACTGCGGTTCTGCCCAGAAGAGTTCCGGGCTATCGAGGACAGACCCCTGCAAGTGAATATTGATGCGGAGAATGAAGAGCTCTCCGATTTGCATATTGATTTGCCGGCGGGTGAGATTGACGCTACCAGTTTGCGCAATCTGGGCAGGTAGCGGTGCAGTGTCTGTGATTGTTTCTGACACAAGATCTTCGAAAAGCGAGGTCTTGACCGATTGGGCCAGAGCATGAGAGATCGCCAGTTTGACCATGTTGTTGCGCGGATCGCGAAGAGAGATGAAGTCGTTGTAGATCCTGGCCTGATACTCGCGCGCATAGTAGAAATTGAAGTTCTCAATCTGCGTGTCATCAGGGCTCAGTATGGAGGTTGCGAATTTGGAGATATCGGACAAGAATCGTGATTCTTGCGCAGGCGTCATTCCCCATATTACGACCGTTCCGTAGTCGAAGAGGAATACCTCGGGTGTGTGGATTGTGATATCAATATCAGGAGTGTCTTTGACTACTTGTTCGTTATCATTTGAGTGACTGCCCTCCTCGTGCAGATCAATCAAGTCCTCTCTTCTGGTCTTCTTATTGTCTTCAACCTCCACCGCACTATCCGAGTATCTTCTTTCACTGGGTCGTCTCTCGTGGTGTCCATTGGCATTTGGATCTTGAAATAACCGTGCGTTCTGCTTTTCTTCGTACTGGTAATCGAAAGGAGAGTAGACGCATTCATCATACAGCTTGGGGTTGGCTCCGCGAGTCTTGCTCCGCGACTTGAGGAACTTGATAACGCCCTCGAGTCGATACGAATTGGCCGTGCAGTAAGCTGTTACTCGAGGTATGCGATCGCGGTCGGCTTTGCCCAGTCGTGCAGCATGGCTTCGTGCGGCGGGGTCCTTGATGCGAGTGATTTGTGAATAGACATCCCGAGGGAAATCTCCATCAGACCCCTCTCCCTCTTCCGTCACAGGATCCGGCAGCAGTTTTAGCTTTTGTGCTTTTTTGGTTGTTCGCTGCGGTCCAATCTTAGATACCGCATGCGGTGTATTCGATATGGGGTTGAAGGGAGCCCCATGGCTATTGCGACGACGAAGCTTGCTGTTCAATGCTGAGAGCATGGGCTGGGTGCCGGGACGGGGCTGGCCTCCCTGGGCGTTGACATTCTGCACGGGAGGTGAGTCTGTTTGCAAGGGTCGAAATGTAGGATCAGAGGTAGATTCATTGCTGCCATAGGTGCTGATTTGTGTGAGCGGATTGAAGGATACCGACCGCGGTGTCCGATTTGTCCGTGGTGACGTATTGGAGGCCGAGTTCTGATGCTGCGGCAGCAGAGGAGAATTCTCTGCAGCAGGCGCCATGGCAAAAGTAATGAAAGGTGTAGAGTTAGACGACAAGCGCCATAAAGGGGATGTAAAAAAAAGGCAAAGAGGTGGAAAAAAAAGTCGAGGTAGCTTGGCCAAGGTTGGAAGCTTTCGCAGATGTTCCGCCTTAATAATCTGGGAACCTGTCCGGGTCCGGTTCTTGGCGCTTTTGTATGATTTTCACTTTTGACTCTTTTTAGTATTTTGATATGTTTATATTTCGATAGTTCGATATTTACATCTTATTTTAGATTACAGATCTTCCTTTAGAATGAATTCATTGCCAGACATTATTGGGCATAATTGACTGAATCCTATATACATAACTCCCCAAAGTTGAATTGCAGACCAGGTTTTACTCCCAACACCATGCAACCCTAGTAACACTCGGACAAAAATCCTTTTTTTCAATGACTTATCACAAAATGGCTGCAGTAGACGCGGGGTTGGTTGCATATCCAATCGACACCGACTTTCGATTTGCGCCAATAGGGCATCGAAAACCCCCGACAGGAACATCAGTCGAGGCGAGTGAGCATGTCCCCGCCGTTGACACTGGTAGGTTGTAGATGTAACTTCCAGCTATGTTTGAAGATATTTGACACTGAACAAAACTCGCTTTTGATGGCCGTACGACGTTGGTCGATTTCACCGGCGAACAAATCCAGAAGGACCGGCGGCCTTCTGTCGGAGTCCATTGCCATGTGCTATGGTACGGGTCTTCTGACGCATGCTACCCTTGAGGTTCCGTCCAGCCTTGGAAATTTTAGGGGCCAGCGCGGGCTTTGAGGACTTCTTTGTGGACGGCGCATCCAGCACCCGGATAGAGACATCCCCCATGTTGATATCCTTAGGAAGCTTGTCCTGCTTATCCAGGAATCGCAACTTATTTGACTTCTTTGGCATGGCGAATTCATCTTCAGCAGGGGGTGTGGGAGGGCGAATGGAGAACTCGGCATTCAAAATGTCATCGGGAAGCAAAGCAGGAAGAGCGGCTCGTCGTGCATCTTGGGTAGTTGTGCCTTGGAGAGTAGCCGTGCTTTCGGAAAGCATATCATCAGTTGGAGCCTCCTTGGGCTTAACAATGGATTTGGCTTGCAACTTGCGACGCTCATCGAGTTTCCGTCGCTTCTCTCTCTTCAGTTGCTCTTCTCTGTAAAAAAAAATCATTAGTCAAAATTTACTTCACTAAAAGTAGGAAATCACACGTACAATTGCTTGGCTACTTCTTGCTTCTTGGCCTGCTCCTTCATTTTCAATTGCTGGGCAGAGTTGTCAATGGTCTCTGGCGCATCGTCGTCACTATCATCTTCGTCGTCCTCATCCTGGATTGGTGTTTCCGAAGTTTCTTCCGGCTGTGTTTCGAGTGGTTCAGGTTCTTCGCTACCGAATCGGATCTTCTTGTTCACAGGTGCTTTCTCCCCATTTACGCTGGATTTCTCTGCTGGGGTATGTTTCGTAGCATCTTGATCGGTTCCAGTAGCCTTAGGATCGCTTCTTCTTCTCCGCTTAGTCTGCTGGTCTTCGGTCTTGCTAGCATTTGCTGACTGCGCCTTGCGCTTTCCACTCGCAGCTTCAGGCGCAACATTTCCTCGTCGAGTAGCTGTGACCATCTTGGAATTGGTGGCAGAGGTGCCAGGGGAGTGGGACTCTTGTTCTTCGGGCTGTCGCGTAAATAGACCCTTGGCAGCAGTGACCAAGTGAGCAAACATAGAGTGACAAGAAAATTGAAAAATAAAGTAATAAACCCAAATGGGGGAAACGGTTCCTTGTGCTGGTCAAGAGGTGAAGCAAAAATAAAAAATCTCTCGGCGATCAGGATTTCCCGAGAGCGGAGACGATAAGCAACTCCGCTATCACTTCACTTCCTCTACATCTACTTCACCTTCATTATTGGGTGAGCAAGTTGAGTTTATCTTCTTTTATATTAATTTAAGTTGCTTTCATCTGCTATTGAATATCGATTCTATGTTTTATGAAACATCACATGGTGCCAAATATCTGCGCAAACCACAGATTTGTCCAACTAGATTCAGAATATATATAAGCCGTGTTAGTCTCTGGGCAAAGCAAGCATTAAAGCCATATCTAAGGTATATTATCGCACAATAACTCAATTTCCCCAGTATCTCCTTTTCGGATTTTACCAGACATTTACCAGTGCATAAGTGAAGCAACCTTGGAATTTATTGCATGTGGTATATGTTGGAGAAACCAACCTCAAATGCATTGCTCTTGATAATATCCAAAAATTGTATCAATATGCCCTTCTTTCTATATACTGATTGAACGACAGGCCTGCTGGGATAAAACTCGTGGCAAAAGTAAACCCCTAGTCCTCTGAAGGGACTAATGTGAATTGAAATAAATATGGCAAGAAATTAAAAATTGGAAATGTTGAATATTCAGTCAAATGGCATGACCCCTGAATATTGTGCAACCAGATGCAAGTGATGCCACGCCGTGTATAGACTCCATTAAAAAACCAGAACGCTGCAGAGTCCCGAGTTGAACGCCTAGACCGTAAATAAAATCCTGGGAATCATAATGCAAAGCATAGCAAGCAATGTGCCCACCGAACCATTACTCCTTGATACCGTATAGGTTCTTATAGAACTCCTCGTGCTTGCGGGCACACTCGGCGCGTTCCAGGGCCTCCTCGCGAGACCTGATAAAGTCATCCTCCCCAGTGGGGCTGAGCTCTTCCCACATCTGATTATATTCGTCGATATCGCTGCCAGTCATGGCCCACATGCTCTCGCGCTGACGCTTGTTGCGCTCACGGTCCTCCTCGATGCGCTGCTCGATCTGCCTCTTGTCAAGACGTAGCTGAGGCTTCTCAGACTTTGACTTGCTGCCTCCCTCAGCGCCTTCCTCCTGTTCAAGATCTAGGTGGGAGGGGTGGGAATCGCGGTCTTTCAGAGCGGCGTCGATCTCGGCCACGGTTTCGGCGCTAAGGACTTCCTTCGCCTGGAGACCGTTCAGGACGTGGCGGACGTGCTTGACATTGGCTGCACCGGTGCCATCGGGGGGAACGACTGAGTCGACCACGCGTAGGATGTCTCGCTGCATCATGCGCACGTATGGGAGGTAGTTTTCCTTGATGGCCATTTCGCAGAGGTGTTCAATAAAATACATGATGTTTGCACGATTGTTCATGTTGTTCTACCACACCCAAGGTCAGAATGTATCAAACACAATGGAAATTGGAACTCTTACCCGTTCAAGCTGCTCCAGGATGCATGAGTGAAGATCCTCATCGAGGTCGCGGTACTTGAGCGCATAATGGGCGGCCTTCTGTGACGATGTGACAGCGGCGCTGAGGTGCTGCAGCTGCGTAGTGAAGCGCATTCGCACCTCAAAAGGATCGATCATCATTTTATCTTCCGATTTTTTAGCTTTGTCGAGGGTAGGAAGATCGGTAGTCGTAGACATGATAGGTGGACCGCAGGGCGGTCAAGATTACAAATGACAGAAAGATGTGGGGTTGGAAAGGGCGGTGGGGTCCTGTCCAGCCCTAGGTAAAGCCACAGTGTTTATGGGACTTAACGTAGTGAATAAATGTGAAGCAATTTCTCTGACATTTACTAAGAGTGAATATCTGTGAAGATAGTAACAGAATCGGAATATACAGAGCAATATGATAGCAAAAATCATCAAAGAGAATCCCGCCTCAAGGAACTACCAAGACTGGACGTATCATTCCCATCAAGCAAACCAACCTCTTCAGCCTCAGTATGATTTTCGAAATTCCGGAATTCTTCGTCTCGAAGGGCTTCTTCACGGCGAAACTCCACGCCATTCAGCACCGACCAGACATCTTTCTTGGTCAGTAGTCCTTGTAGAATGCCCTTATTGGCAAATAGCACATAACGCAAGCCAAGACGTTGGAACATTCGCAAAACAATCAAGAAAGTGATGTTACTGTTCAAGGTCATCGGTGTCTGGTCCATCCAAGGTCGTAGATCAAGGGTATCAATAGGGTCCGCAAAAGGTTGATGCGAAAAGAAGACTTGTGTCTCGTCGGAGAGGTTGCGGGTGGTAGAAGAGGTTGAGTATTTCAGAGCAAAAGAAAGCTCATTGCGTGTTATGTAACCTAGCAGAGTAGGACTCGAGGTGTCTGAGACTATGGGGAACCCGCGATATGTAGTGTTAGCTAGCAGACTGCGGATCGAGGCAATAGTATGACCAGTGGCAGTAATGACGCTGATATCGTCCACGGTTGTCATGACCCGGTGAGCAGATACGTCTGGCGGAGTGGTGTCATCGCGATGGTCGAGGAAGGGATACTCGTTTAGTCGAATCCATGACTCGTAGATACCTCGCTTTCCAAAGATGTCACCACACCACTTGGATAACATCACGGCAATCATGATCGGGATCACATAAGTTAACGCGCCGGTCAATTCAAACATGATAACGACAATCGACAAAGTCATGCGAGTAGCACCACCAAGAGCAGCAGCAGCCCCGATAATTGCGTACAAGCCAGGTGTGACGCATGGAATGTCTGGCTCGCATTTGCTAAACATGAATGCATTCGGATAGGATTCTTGCCACAAGCGGACTATGATGCCCAGAGAACGCCCGTAGAGAGCACCGATAGCGACCGAAGGAAGAATAATACCCGCAGGAATCTCAAGTCCAAATGTCATGGAAGCCAAGAAAAAGGCCAGTAAGGCAGCTATGACCAGATAAATAGCCACGCCAATCGAGGCAGATCCTGTTGCGCAGAGACCAAATCGATCATATGTCACACTGTTGCACTCTGCGAATAGCGACTGAACAAGCTCCGAGTTTTGAGCCCGCATGAAGTGATTTGGATAGTTGACTAGAGCTGTAATGAGAGCCACGACAACCACTTCGATGATTGGCCGGGAGGAAGTTCGAGCTCGCCTCCACTTGGTGATTCTCGTATTCAAGCGGATCAGGAATGCGCCGTAGAGACCGCCAATGATGCCAAGAATAATGAATGGGATAATTTCGAAGCGATGCCAGCCTCGGGTGTAGGTTACTTGATACAACACAATTTTACCTGTCCGGAATGGGTTCAAGGCTTGCAGGGTAACAGCTGCTACCATGGCACAGACAAAGCTTTGCCACATTGTTTTGTCTGGGAAATAATATGAAAGTTGCTGGAAAAATCAGCAAAGTAGATAGCATGTGATTGACAATATTTCATACCTCCAAACTAAAAAGAACACCTCCGATGGGTGCCCCGAATGCGACTGAGATACCTGCTGCGGCGGCCGCAGAAAGGACCTCTCGTTTGCGTGCTGTGAAATGAGTGAGCGGATGGAGAGAGGCGAGAATGAGCGACGTACCTTCATTGCCTTTAAGGCTCTCAAAAGGTTTCATTAGAATATTCGCGCAGCAGCATGCAACATGCACAAGTGGACCTTCTTTGCCTAGCCATAGACCGGATGCAACAGAAAGACACTGGGCATTGTCAGCAAAGATGTCTTTTGATAAGAAGAAGCTTGACTTACCAGGCCCAATGATTTAATGGCCAGCGTCCAGGGCCCCATGAAATGTCGGATGACAGTTCCACCGAGGATCGTTTTGATCTCGGGGATACCACTGTGTCGAGCATAAACGGCATAATTTCGCACCAGAAAGCAAGCGCATGCAGCAAAGAAAACCTAGATATTGTCAATAGAGCCCTAAAAGCAAGACACGGAGATATCATTACCGAAAACACAACATAAAAGATGTATCCAACCGCATATGTTCCTGCACCAGAGTTCGCTTTTAATGCATTCCCCCAAGGTGTCCAGTCCAGACACTTGGAGTGATCTATACCATATCGATTCAGCAGTGAGACTTATAGAGACTTGACGCTATCGGCTTACCATCGAGACCCCAGCAGCAAAAGCTCTTGTTCAGATAGAATTTGCCACCTCCACTTCCATTTTTGCAATATCCGGCCTTCAAATCACCCAGCCAATTGGTTGCAATATCGATAGAAGCAGCGATTATTCCTACAGCAATGCCAGTCGCAATCAACACCAACCAGACATTGCTTGCATCAAGAAGTCGACGAGCATGGCCCAATATACCCTGTCCACTTGAGTAAAGAAGCCGCTTTCTTTGCCGCTCCTTGGTATACTCATAGATCCAATCGATGGCGGTGAAGTCGTCGTAACCCACACGTCGTCCTGGGCCTTCCACGTACCAGTCTAGTGGCGCACCGTCTTTTGATCCTTCAGCACCGCCATTGAATCCTATAGGCGCATAAGGATCTAGGGGCGACGCATCGCCATTCTGACCACCTTGCGGCGCCGGAGAGCCAAAGCCAGTATCCGATCCGCCGGCGGGAGGGGAGAGAAGGCTGGACAAACTGAACCGTGATCGTTGTTTTTGTTTTCGCTTGAAGGAGATCCTAAATGAACAGCCTGGTCAGTACCACAACGAAAGGTGGAGTCTTCAAGACATACGGTTCATTTAGCCCCTCGGTTTCCCGATTCACATCTTGAGGCTGATGGGCGTCCTGATTAGCTCCGAGTTGCGTCCCGGAATGGCCCTCACCACCCGAGCCCTGGCCACTCATTGGCATTGTGAAACATAAATGAACCGCGATATCGCGATATTAGCATTTCCTCGTTAAAATGACCTTGTTTCAGGGACAGCTTTGTTGGACGCGCAAGTGTGGCGCAAGCTCCGCGCCCGCAAGCGGTGTGATCCAAGTCTAGGCGGGGCTGCGCCACAGGCGGCAGAAAGAAAAAAAGTTGGAGCGAAAGCCGATGAAGCGGGATTTCCTCTTTTATTTCAAACTTCACAGTTCCTCTTACGACCGGATTAAACATGGATCGGAGGCCGGTCTATGAGAGGACTCTTACTGAGTCCGAGCTGCTCGAGCAGCTACCGAGTGGAATCTCGACTTTCATTCGGACTGCATCGGGGACTCAACACCTCCACGCTCTTGCGCTTGGCGCATTAAACAACGAATTTACAGAGAGCATTTTCAGACTCTATGAACCGATTTTTGTCGATCTTGCAGCTCGATGGCTTCAATCGGATTTACATGCCGACTACATTCATGTATTAGCGGCATTCGCGCAGATTTTACCATTTGCGCCGCATCTGCGGTCGCTTGCCAGTCAATATGCCTCATCACAGACTGGACCTTTGGCGGCCTTGGCCGTGTCGAAGGAATTAACACTGCTACAGTTGGACCAACCTAGCATTCGACTCCTACTCCTCGCCCTCTTCCGACTTCTTTCGTTTGATCTTGAAACCTTCTCTCCCATCGTTTCACCGCTTCAACTTCAGTCCCTCTTCCAATCTCAAGACCGAGTGACACGATACCTTGCTGTACGATGCTTTGCCTTATATATGCACGCCGCGGATGCGGCGACCGAAAAGATGGTCCGCGTCAATACTGGGACGGAGCCTATAGAAGGAGAGTGGGAAGGCACTCTTATCGATTACCGTGTGCTAGGATTGTGGGAAGAACGGCGATGGGAGACTCTTGGAAGAATTATCGAGAACGAGAGGTCATCCAGAACGGAAACTAACACTCTAGCGTTGATCGAGAGGACACGGGAATCTTTCACAACCAAGACCGCAGAGATCTGCGGAGTTTTGATTCCCAGGTTGAAAGATACCCCCTCGGCTCCTTCGTCTGTTGTCAAGACCTCAACCACAGTTGAGAACCTGCGCCGGATTGCAGGGTCGCTACTCGGACACAAACCCATCCTGTTGGTCGGTTTGCCCAACTCTGGGAAAACCTCTTTGATTAACGACATTGCTGCCACAATGGGCCAAGCTGAAACTATGGTCACGCTTCACCTGAACGAGCAGACAGATGCAAAGAGTCTCCTTGGAATGTATGCCACTTCATCCGCCTCTGGATCTTTCTCTTGGCAGCCCGGTGTATTGACCAAGGCTGCACGCGAAGGCCGCTGGCTGTTGATTGAAGATCTTGATCGTGCTCCCTCTGAAGTAATGGGCCTCATTCTCCCGATCATTGAGAGGGGCGAGCTCACGATACCAAGTCGGAGGGAGCGAATCAAGTGTGCCGAGGGCTTCAAAATCATCGCAACCATGAAGTCATCGTACAACATAGCTGGCGATGAGATTGCACCAAGCACTTCAATGCTTGGAAGCAGACTTTGGGAGAGAGTGCAAGTCAAGTCCCTTCCCGTGGATGAGATGCGTGATGTCATCCTGCAAAAATTCTCGTTGCTCGAGTCTCGTGTGCCAACTCTCATGAACGTTTACGGACGAGTATGCTCTGCATTCCATGGAAGTCTTGCAATCAAGGGCTCCCAAGGTCGTACCCCGGGTTTCCGTGATTTGATCAAGTTGTGCAGCCGTCTGCACAATCGCTTACACCGCATGGGTGCGAAGACTGGCTATGAGCCCACCTCAGAAGGTACCGAGGATGAAATATTCCTCGACATTGTTGACGTGTTCCTCAAATATCTCCCCGAGAAGTCAATGCAAAGCACTCTCGCCGCCGTTGTGGCCGAATCGCTTCAAATCTCACCCCAGCGAGCGCAATACTGTCTCAATGAACGCACTCCCTCTTATACTGACAAGAACAACAGCGTTGTTCTTGGTAGAGAAACCTGCAACAAGATCAAAGTACCAAGTGGATCTGCATTGAAGCTTGCCGCAGCAGCTTCGCGATTTGCTCCCACTCGAGCGGCATTGACCCTTATGGAACAGGTGGCTGCCTCAATCCAGATGGCAGAGCCCGTTTTACTTGTGGGAGAAACTGGTATCGGAAAGACCACAGTCATCCAGCATCTTGCATCTTTGATGCGCCAGAAGCTCACAGTAGTGAATTTGTCGCAACAGAGTGAAAGCACTGATCTTCTGGGTGGTTTCAAACCCGTCAGCATCCGTACAATGGCAGTCCCAATGCTGGATGAATTCACCCAGCTCTTTGAACTGACCTTCTCGGCCAAAAAGAACCAGAAGTTCTTGTCCTCGATATCGAAGAGTGCCGCATCTTCCAATTGGGTACGATTGGTGACCTTGTGGCACGAAGCCGTTCGTCTTGCAAATGGCGTGTTCAATCCCCCGAATGCCGCAGCTGAGAATGGCGATGAACAGCCAGCCAAGAAACGCAAGCTGGATTCTCCCAAATACCAGCACTTGCGGCAAAGATGGGAGAGCTTTGCGACCCAGCTCGGAGATTTCGAGGCTCAGGTATCACAAGGTGATGCCAAATTTGCCTTTGCCTTCGTCCAAGGTAAGATTGTGAGAGCTCTGAGAAACGGCGAATGGGTCCTCCTGGACGAAGTGAACTTGGCTTCCCCTGATACCCTTGAGAATATTGCCAGTCTTCTGCACCATGGTAGTGAGGGGACACCCTCTGTTCTTCTGTCCGAGGCCGGCGACGTTGAGAGAGTCTTCGGCCATCCGGAATTCCGTATCTTCGGTGCTATGAACCCTGCAACAGATGCCGGAAAGAGAGATCTACCCCCCGGTCTGCGTTCCCGGTTCACCGAATTCTATGTGCACTCGCCCGATAGCGACTTGGACGATCTATTGGCCTTGATTCAGAAATACCTCGGCGACTTGACAATCAGTGACCAGCGGGCTGTGCCAGACCTCGCACAGCTTTACATGATCACCAAGAAGCTCAGTAATGAGAACAAGCTTACCGACGGAGCTGGACAGCGACCCCACTTCAGTATCCGTACTCTTGTTCGTGCTTTGATCTATGTCATCGACCACGCACATGTCTATGGGCTACGTAGAGCGATGTTTGAGGGTTTCAGTATGAGTTTCTTGACCGTGCTGAGCTTGAACTCCGAACAAGCTTTGATTCCTCTGCTTGAGCTTCATATCTTCGGCAACGCGAAGAACGCCAGGTCTCTTCTCGGACAGACCCCTCGCCCACCAACGGATGGTAATGATTATGTGCAATTCAAGCACTACTGGATGCGCCGCGGTCCTATGGTTCCGGAGGAGCAACCTCACTACATCATCACCCCATTCATCGAGAAGAATTTGAAGAACTTGGTCCGTGCCAGTTCAACCCGACGATTCCCCGTTCTGCTTCAAGGTCCGACCTCAGCCGGAAAGACGAGTATGATCGAGTACTTGGCAAAGGTCTCTGGAAACAAGTTTGTACGAATCAACAACCACGAGCATACTGATTTGCAAGAGTACTTGGGATCTTACATCTCCTCGGACGATGGAAGCCTACGTTATCAAGAGGGTGTGTTGGTGGAGGCACTGCGGAACGGTTATTGGATTGTGCTGGATGAGCTGAATCTGGCACCTTCTGATGTTCTTGAAGCCCTTAACCGACTCCTCGACGACAACCGTGAGCTTTTCATTCCCGAGACCCAAGAAGTTGTTCACCCGCACCCGAACTTCATGCTCTTTGCCACGCAAAATCCGGCTGGTCTGTACGGTGGCCGAAAGGTCCTGTCACGCGCCTTCAGGAACCGTTTCCTCGAGTTGCACTTCGATGATATCCCAGAAAGCGAACTGGAATTTATTCTGAAGGAACGTTCTCAAATCGCCCCCTCCTTCTGCACACGGATTGTTGCTGTCTACCGCAAATTGTCCTTGCTGCGCCAGTCTAATCGACTCTTCGAGCAAAAGAACAGTTTTGCCACTCTGCGTGATCTTTTCCGATGGGCTCTACGTGATGCCGATGATCGCGAGCAGCTAGCCATCAACGGTTACATGCTTCTCGGCGAACGTGTTCGCAATCCCCAAGAGAAAGCCGCCGTTAAGGCCGTGATCGAGGAAGTGATGAAGGTAAAACTGGACGAGGATGCTTTGTACAGCTCTGCAGAGCTAGAAAAGAATGCACCTGAGATGAGCGAGCTTCCAGCCGGTATTGTGTGGACTAAAGCCATGCGACGACTGTTTGTTCTCGTTTCCAAGGCCCTCAAGAACAACGAGCCGGTCCTCCTTGTCGGAGAAACCGGTTGCGGTAAAACCCAGCTATGCCAGGCCGTTGCCGAAGCTTTCCGACGCGAGTTGTTCATTGTCAACGCTCATGTGAATCTGGAAACCGGCGACTTGATTGGTGCACAACGGCCTATCCGAAACCGGGCCGCAATCGAGAAGCAGCTCGTCGATGACCTTCAGATGCTTCTTCACGGGCAGCTAAGCGGCGCGTCTTTCGATGAATTGAAGCAGGAATTCACAGCATTGACTGCGGAGCAGCGTCAAGCCAAGGATCAACTTCTCTTGCAGAAGATTGAGAAGAACGCTATTCGTTGCAATGCCCTGTTTGAATGGTCCGACGGAAGCCTGATCACCGCAATGAAGACCGGTCAATTCTTCCTTCTTGACGAAATTTCTCTCGCAGATGACTCCGTTCTTGAGAGACTTAATAGTGTTCTGGAACCTGCTAGGTCCATTCTTCTCGCCGAGAAGGGCCCCGTTGATTCAATGGTTGTGGCAGATGGTGGATTCCAATTCTTATCCACTATGAACCCTGGAGGTGATTACGGAAAGCGTGAGCTTTCGGCTGCTCTTCGCAATCGTATGACAGAAATCTGGGCGCCTCAGCTGTCTGAGGATGAGGATATCCTGCCAATTCTCTCACAGAGATTGAACCTGAAGGAGGAGAACGTGGCAAAGGCTATGCTGCAGTTCGCCAAGTGGTTCAAAGTAACCTTCCAGAACAGCTCTGCCACGTCGCTCTCGATTCGTGACCTTCTTGCCTGGGTTGACTTTGTCAACACTTGTCAAAGCGCAGACACTGAATTCGCTATCGTACAAGGTGCCGCGATGGTTTTCGTCGACACCTTGGGTGCCAACCCTGCTGCAATGCTTGCTATCTCCCTCAACAATCTCGAGGGTAACCGCAAGTCATGCCTCGACAAGCTGAGCGAACTGTTCAATGTTGATGCTTTCAAGATCTACTGGGAATCGACTACTGTCTCTGCGGAACCTGGCGTTCTGCGCGTGGGGCCCTTCGCTCTCCCTACGGCTGGCACAGCAGACCCCGATCCTCAATTCACAATGGATGCCCCAACCACAATCGCCAACTCCGTGAGAATTGCTCGTGGTTTGCAGTCCTCGAAGCCTATTCTTATGGAAGGAAGCCCAGGTGTGGGTAAGACTACACTTGTGACGGCCCTAGCCAGAGCTCTTGGCAAACCTCTCACTCGAATCAACCTTTCGGAACAGACAGATCTTACAGATCTGTTCGGTTCAGACGTTCCAGTGGAAGGAGGGGATGTCGGGCAATTCACTTGGCGTGACGCACCGTTCCTACGAGCCATGCAGCGTGGTGACTGGGTTCTGCTGGATGAAATGAACTTGGCCTCACAATCTGTCCTTGAAGGTCTCAACTCTTGTCTGGATCATCGTCAGCAAGTGTACATCGCTGAGCTGGACCAAACATTCAAGAGACACCCCGATTTCGTGCTCTTTGCCGCCCAGAACCCTCACCACCAGGGTGGTGGCAGAAAGGGTCTTCCTGCATCTTTCGTTAACCGATTCACGGTGGTCTATGCAGACAGCTTCACTGATGATGACTTGAAAACTATTTGTTCCAGGCTTTTCCCTGGCAGTCCCTCTGTGCAGACAGAGAGATTGGTCGATTTCATTTCTCTCTTGAACCAGGCGATCACGCGAGATCGTCGATTGGGAGCCATTGGTGGGCCATGGGAAGTTAATCTGCGTGATATCCAGCGATGGCTTCAACTTGCCGACCGAGGAACCCTGCAGATCCAGACCAAGCACTTCCTTGATGTCGTTATCAGCCAGCGATTCAGAAGCGAAGAGGATCGTAACATGGTCTCTCAGATCTATGACCGTGTTTTCACGGACTCGGACACAGGCTTGAAGAGCTACTTCCACAACCTCACCCCCGAGTACTTGCAGGTCGGCCTAGGCATTTTGACCCGTGATCCTCTTCTGCAGCGCTTGGCCGAGCCTAATATGAGGGTCCTACCAAAGGATCTTCACATTGTCGAGTCACTCATTCTATGTATTGATAACTCCTGGCCGAGCATCCTAGTCGGACCTGCTGGATGTGGCAAAACCACTCTCATCAGAAAGCTGGCAGCGGTTAACGGTGCAAACCTCGTCGAGCTAGCGCTGAGTGCTGACACTGATACTATGGATCTCATTGGTGGATTTGAACAAATCGACCACCGCAGAGAGGTTTCAGGCTTTGTCCATGATATTGAGATGTTCTTGCGAAGCCAGCTCATCCAATGCTTTGCTTCAGGGGATGTATCTGATGTTGTGATTTCTGCACTCCACATCTGCGAGCATTTACAGTCTGCAGACATCTCACTGGAGAATGTCATTCCCTCGCTTTCCAGCCTTTGCCAGTCTTCTTCTGACCCTGCCTACCAGCAATTCCTCGAGAGAGCCCAGAAGTTGTTGAATGCTATTCAACAATCCGACAAAATGAAGGTTGGATTTGAATGGACAGAAGGTGTCCTCACTCAGGCTGTCCAACAAGGAAATTGGGTTATTCTTGACAACGCCAACCTGTGCAATCCATCCGTTCTCGATCGATTGAATTCTTTGACGGAGCCGAATGGCACACTCATTCTGAATGAGCAACGGACAGAGGATGGATCTGCCAAGATCATTACGCCCCATCCCAACTTCAGAATCTTCTTGACCATGGATCCCCGCAATGGCGAGCTGTCTCGTGCCATGAGGAACCGCTGTACCGAAATCTGTTTCCTGCCAAGCGAGCTGCAAGACATCAAGCCTACTATAGGCCCATCCTACACCTGCGAATCGTTCCTCTATCGCCTTCGCCATATCTGGAACTTGGATATATCCCTGGCGTCGTCTGCCTTTGAAAACGCTCTCGAGGTGTGCTTGGATCATCTTTCACCAGCGGATCTGGCCTACCTTCAACAGTCGCCAAGCAACCGTTTGGCTATCAATTCCGAGACCAACGGAGAAGAGAAGCCATCCAATGTTCTGCAGCGCTATGCCTCTCTGTTCCATGACAACAACCAATGGAAGCCGCTTGAGATCGCCACCGGCGAGATTGTGCTTGGAGGAGCTCACCTTGGTATCCAAGGAATGTTGCAGCCTCTTCACCCGCTCACAAACGAGCCACTGCTGGCTATTGCAGGAACCAGCGATTTCCGGTCTAGTTTGGTTGTCTTGGCATATCTCCAGGAGTTGAGACTTGATATTCATCGCCTCAGGGAAGGTTTGATTCAAGCCGACATCTCTGGAAAAGAGCTTAAGCCTAGCCAAATGACACGATTGGAGCGGTCATTGGCATCTGAGCGGATCCCTGCATTGATGAAGGACACGACGCAACCTGTTGCCTCGTTCTTGTCTGATTGTGGCCAGGCTCTGTATGACTATATCCAGTCGTTGGATCAGATCTCCCTCCAAGGCCCCGTGATAGTCGCAGCCCTTCGGGCCGTGATCTGTCTATGCTGGGACATCTACAGAGCTACAGAGGTGAGCCAGGTTGATGAAGGAGAATTCCAAGTTTATCTTCAGATGGGCCGGAAGATCTGCGGGTCATTGCTCGACTCGTCGCCTCTCCTGGAACCGCTCCAAGTCGCTTTGTCACAAGCTCTGGATCGGTTCCGGGAAGGCTGGGCTTTGACAAGTGGTCTTAGCATGCAAAGAATCTGGGATTCTTGGAGACATGTCACTCCCATCTCTCAAGATAAGTTGGATTCTCTGACCGAGTTGGAGTCAACAGTCCTAGAATTCACAACTTTGGCTTTGCAAACCCGCGTGCCACTGTCTCAATTGAGTCGTGTACGCGATTCATTGATTGAGGCCCAGCGATTCATCCTCCTGGATGGCGCTGATGGTGACGTACTTGTTCAGGGTATCAAACAAACCGTGGCTGAGCTATCTCATGCAGTTCGACGCTCAGAGTCAACTGAGTATCCATACTTTGCCAACGAGTTCGAAGCTCTTTGCCAGTACCACGACATCTCCTCATTCTTCCAGAACCCTGTCAATGATACAGTCATCCAGACAGTCATGCCACTCCTCGCTGGTCGTACAGCTCGTCCGTTGGACGCATCGAATTTCCAGAGCGACGTGCCAAATATTCTCCACAGAATCTCGCTCTTTGCGGGCTCTTCAAGCAAATCCGAGTCCGCGCTTGCTACTGGTGGCATCGTCTCTCTGTCGCTATTGGAGAGGCTGACAGCTATCGGCAATACCAAATTGGGACAGATGGACATGCTTGAGGCAGAGAAACAAGCCCTCTCCAAGGCTATTTCCCTGAGCAGTCAGCAGATCACAACAGATCAGTCAATGGACCTCAGACGTACTATCGCTAAGCTTACAGCCGAGCTGGTGGCTTGTCACCGGGAGTTCTTCGACCCTCGCTCAGCCGAGCATCTCATCTCGGTTCTGCAAGCAATTCAAAAGGGTGATCTTTGCGTTGAACAGCCACCTGTTAAGGTTGAGCTGGACCAAAGCTTGCAAAATGCTCACTTCCTTAAGCCCCTCGCCGAGCAGGCTCTACCAACTCTGATTTCGTCCCTGCGAACGCAGCCATCAAACCAACAGCAGAGCATCCGAACTACTGGACTGGCGGCGGTACAGCTGGCAGTCATTCTTCTACGTCTGTTTGTGCCCGACAAGACATTTGACCCTTCTCTCGGTCTCGTTGTCCAACGCAAACGCCACTCTCAACGCCTCCAAGAATTCACTACCAAGTCTGCAGCAATTCTTGCCTTTGAGAAGACTTTCACCAGCCAGGTTTCCAACCTCCGGTCTGAGCTTTTGGATAATGAAATTCGTGATTTGGGTTCCGCCCCGCCTCCTTCACTGGTCAACCGGCCTCGGCAGTCCCAATTGAGTCTCTTGCAGGGAGAGTTCATCAACTTGATCAACTCTGTCCTGAAGAGAGACCCCGAGCAAATGATCCGCTCCACCGAACCTCAGTCCCGAGATATGATCCAACTTCTGCGCAACAACATCAAACAATTGAGCAGCCGCCTCAGCACTCACTACAGATCCTATGATGATATTACAGTGCCCGTGGTTCGTTTCTTGCAGCTTTTGGACCTTGGTGTATTCCTGGCTTCTAGCCAACCGGAAGAGTCTAGCGATATTCCTGACATTCAGTCTCTGAGCGAGCGAACACCCTTCTTGGGAGGAATTCGCCACCCCGTCTTTGCTCAAAACCAGAAGGCTCCGGGAACCCTGAAGAATGCAAACGAAATGCGCCTTCAAGAACTGTCGGCCCTTTGGGCCGCCAAGGACGCGGATTCCACAATCCTGGATACAAAGGCTGGACGAGAGATCATTCGCCGGGTTTTCGCTGATTTCCATCAACTGTGGAAGGCCAAGCTTGAAGAAGATCGGGAACAGGAAGCTGAAAAGGGAGAATTGTACCGCTTCAAGGGATCTTGGGAAGAGGAAGAAGAAGTCAACGAAGCCGAGCTACACGCACTCTTCCCTACCTTCGATGAAGAGCCAATTCAAGACACAGAAACGACCGATTTCGCTGCCCGTATCGACCCCAAGAGCATCGCTCTCCGGCTTGCCTCGCTTCATGCAAACATCGTCTCAAATGAGCGCAGTGGAACTGCACTGACTACCTTTGTCAAGCAATCAGGCCATCTTCTGGGCTCGATCTGGTCTGACAACAAGGCCTCATTCTCGCCGATGTCGCCCCAAAACCATCTTCCTGCAGTTCTTCTCCTTCTCGATGATGCCATAGGCGAGGGAACCGACAATCACAAAAAGAATTACAACTTCTACACTGATTCAAACCTCGAAGAGGCAAGGAAGCTTGTCGCTCTCGCGATTTCTGTCCAAGCTCGCTTCGCCCAAATCCAAATCGCCTGGCCTGAACATGTTGTCCTCGCTGATACCATTCAATGCTGCGTGGAAATCCTTCAATTCAAACACACTGAACCTGTTGCCAAGTTCATGACCAAGGTTGAAAAGCTTCATTCATTCGTGCATGAGTGGCAGACCGTGGCCAGCAGAGAATACTCAGCTGTTACTGTCTACGATGAGATTACAAGTATTCTCATTAGCTGGCGCCGTCTTGAGCTGTCAACTTGGGCAAAGCTCTTGGATCTCGAGAAAGAGCGATGCGAGGATGAGGTGAGTGCTTGGTGGTTTATCGCTTACGAAGCACTTATCGGTGCTCCCATCATGATGGTCGAGGCAGGCGAACAGGACATGACTGAGCACACCCAAAACTTGGTATTGACTCTGGAGCAATTCTTCAAGTCTACAACTACCGGCCAATTTGCTCGCCGTCTACAGCTTGTTGCCAACTTCCAAGCACTACTTCAAGTTTTCAGCACAGATTATCCCTGCCTCAAGAAGCTTGTCTCTGCCCTGGACAACTTCCTCCACCACTACGGACCCTTCCAGCCTGGAGTGGACAAGTATCTGACAGAAAAGCGGTCCACTCTTGAGAAGGATATCAAGGAGCAGATCCAACTTGCCAGTTGGAAAGATGTCAACATTGTTGCTTTGAAGGAAAGCGCCAGAAGGTCGCACGTTAAGCTATTCAAGCTGGTTCGAAAGTACCGCGCGGCCCTTGGCCAACCAGTTCAATCAATCCTTGAAGCAGGCCTTCCGGAAAGCACCGAGGAGATCACTTCGATGTCCCAAGCAGAGCCAGTTCGCCCCACTGCCACGTTCCCAGAGGCAATGGCCATCTGCCAAAATGACAAGAGCCTGTGGTCCACTCGAGCGCTCAGATTCCAGAAGCCGGATGGAACAGCCAACAACATGATGAACCTATATTCGTCAATTCCAGCCGAGTTCGACATTGCGAAGGACCTCGACAGCTTCATTGTCTCGGTGATTGAAAGCATGAATGAGTACAAGTCCAAGACACCCAAGGTCCTGAACGAAGACAACAAGGAGGACGTCCAGCACCTCAAGTCCCAGAAACGCCGTCTCTATGCTGAGACCCTCAAGCAACTATATGAGATGGGTGTGAAACGTAATGCTGGATCGAGTGTGATCGAAACTCAAGAAACTGTTCCGCAGGTTCTTGCCACCAGTGCCGCCTTTGAGGCTGGTGCTGCAACCTCAACTGCAGTTCAGAGCGCCGACTGGTACTTCCACAGACTTTTGGATCTCCTGCCCAAGACCCGCCTGGCCTCTCGCAACTATTCCGAGGAGCTAAGCAACGTCGAGGTTCACAGAAGCATGGGATCTATTGAGCATCTTGTTTTCACAGTCCGTCGCCAGAGAGGTGTCATTTCGCCTGCCCTCACAGGCTTGGGCAAGTTGAAGTCTACGCTTGACAAGGTGCAGAACCTTTGGACAGCGGCTTCAAACTCTCTGTCACAAGACCGTGCTTCTGCGTCGGAAGAGCGAGCCAACCTGGCCAGAATCGTGGCTTGGCTGGCTCCTATTCTTGGACTGGCTGCAATGATCATTGGAGTGCATTCCAAGTTCTCGGGAATTGATGCATCCAAGATTGTGGAACAGCTCCGCGCCAAGAAGGCATTTTTCGATAGCCTACGCAAGTCGCACGAAGCCCTTCCCATGCTTCCCACCCGGATTGCGTCTAACGCAAATTACGAGATAGCGCAGCAGGCAAAGTCATCGCTCGATGAATTGGCTGCTGACTTGAAGCAATGGAGTCAAGCTCGCCCTGATCTGTCCTTCGCGCTGGATCAGATCACACCTTGGGTCAACACAAACATCGCTGCTCACCCTGAGGTCAACGATGAGAACAGCCTGTCCATCCAAGCCTTCGATAGCAGCCTCCTGACAGCCATTGACAAAATGCTCATTGGCCTCCAGAAGCTCAAGGAGGTGCCTTCTGCCATCACATTTGAAGGATTGCTGTCGAGGAGTGATGAGTTCTTCTCTCGCGGTATTAAGGCTGTTCATCTCACCGAGATCACCACCGCATTGGAGAAGGTCCTTGATCAATTGCACCGTCTGCAAGACGACTCCGCTGGCGGCCTCTCAATTGCTGCCGCACTGATCACCAGTATCCTGCCTATCGCCAACAGATACTACCAAATCTGCCGGGATCTGGCTGATCGGTTCATCGCAGTTCATCGCGAGATCTGTAAGACATCCTACATCCTGACCAAGACCTTCAAACAGGTCGCCTCCGAAGGCTTCTGTAGTCCTGCCGAAGCATCTCAAGATCAAGGCAAGGAGGGCCAGATGGAAAGTGGCACGGGTCTCGGTGAAGGCGAAGGCGCGGAAGATATCAGCAAAGATGTTGGCGATGACGAAGATCTTACTGAGTTGGCGCAACAAGAAAACAAGAAAGAGGACGGTGATGATGAGATGGATGATTCCAAGGACGCTGTCAACATGGATCAGGAAGAGTTGGAAGGCGATGCTGAGGATCGCAAGGATGAAGAGGAGGAGAACGACGATAGTGCCGACGAAGGAGAGGACGATATCGACGAAGAGACAGGAAGCGTTGATGACCTTGACCCAGGTGCTGTAGACGAAAAGCTCTGGGACGGTGGTAATGATGAGCAGCAGAAGGATACTGAGAACGAAGAAGGAAAGGGCCAATCAGAGGCCGAGCAACAAGCTGCTGCTCAGGAAGAGAAAAAGGAGGACAAGGATGGTGAAAAGGGTGAAGAAAAGGCAAAGGAAGGAGAGGATGAGGAAGAGGAAGAAACCGAGGACGAAGAGGCCCCCGAAGACGAGGGCGAGGCAGTTGGCCGTGAGGAAATGGACGTCACCGATCCTCAAGCAAAGGAAGAAGAAACACTTGAACTTCCCGAGGAAATGCAACTCGATGATGGTGAAGGCAAGGACGACAATGGCGAGGACGACGACGAGATGGATGATCTTGATGATGATTTCGGTCCTGCCCCCGAAGAAGAAGGGAAGGTCGAAGACGCCAATGATCAAGCCGGCGAAGAGGACGCCGAGGCAGCCCCGGAGGATCAAGAGCCAGGCGCGGAAGATGAAGAAATGGCCGATGATGCGGAGGAAACCAACGAAGGCGAAGCCGGAGAGGAGGAGGAAGAGGAAGCTGGTGGAGAAGATCCCGAGGAGCCTGAGCAAGACGATTTCCTCGCACAGCGTGATGAGAATGATGCCGCAGGTGACAACGTCGCTCCTAGTGAAGCTGTCACTGGAGGTCTCGGAGCCGAGCAAGACCAAAATGAAGAAAAGGGTGCCTCAGGTGACGCTCAGCAGGAGAGCGGCTCGACTGATCCCAGTGCGAATGTCGACCAACAGACAGGTGCTGCCAAGGATAGCGAGGAGAGCCAGCCCAGCAGAGACGCTGCTGGCGGCGAAGATCACGGGCCAGATGAACCTCAGATGCAGGCATTCAAGAAGCTCGGTGATATCCTCGAGCAATGGCATCGACGACAAAAGGAGATCCTCAATCCGTCCCAAGAGGAGGAGGATTCCCAGGCTATGCCCGAAGACACCGATATGGCCGACGCAGACTTCGAGCACCTCAGGGATGACGACGATGCCGCAGACACCCAGGCCCTTGGACAAGCGAACGACGACCAAACCCAAGCCCTCGATCAAAGCAAGGGTGTCGAGTCCGACATCAAGCCTGGTGAGAACGATGTTCTCCCAGACGTGTCGGATGAGCAGCAGGATGCCGTTGACAACCAGCTTGAGGATGAGATGCAAATCGACCGTGAGACCGTTCCCGCCGATGACGATTCCGCCGGCGCCTTCATTCCTAGCGGGCAATCATCCCACGACCGCGCAGACGGAGCACAGGGTACCGAAGAGATAGACGAGGAACTTGATGAAGTCGACTCGCAACTCGCAGCCATCCACCTCTCCTCTTCGCTTCCCCCATTGACTCCACAAGACGAAGCCCGCCGCCTCTGGTCGCACTACGAGTCTGCCACAAATGATCTCTCCCTCTCGCTCACCGAACAACTCCGTCTCATCCTCGCCCCCACAATGGCCACCAAGCTCCGCGGTGACTTCCGCACCGGAAAGCGTCTGAACATCAAGCGTATCATTCCCTACATCGCATCCCAGTACAAGCGCGACAAGATCTGGATGCGCCGCTCTATCCCCTCGAAGCGCAACTACCAGATCATGCTGGCTGTCGATGACAGTAAGTCTATGCTAGAAAGCGGCAGTGGCCAGCTTGCCTTCGAGACCCTCGCCCTTGTTGCGAAGAGTCTGAGCATGCTGGAAGCTGGTGATCTCTGTGTCCTCGGCTTCGGTAACGAAGAACATGTTCGCGTCGCCCACGAGTTCGGAAAGCCCTTCTCCTCCGAGGCCGGCTCCCAGGTCTTCCAGCACTTCAGCTACCAGCAAACTGGTACCAATGTGCGCAAGTTGATCGCCGACTCTATCGCTCTGTTCCGCGAGGCTCGCTGGAAGCGCTCGCCTGGATCTGGCTCTGCCGATCTCTGGCAGCTTCAGTTGATTATCTCCGATGGTATCTGTGAAGATCATGATACCATTCGCCGTCTTGTCAGACAGGCGCTTGAGGAGCGCATCATGGTTGTCTTTATTATTGTCGATGCTGTCAAGGGTAGCTCTATCCTTGACCTCTCCCAGGCTAGCTTCGAGGCCGATCCTAACTCTGGTGGTGAGATGAAGCTCAAGATGAAGCGTTATCTCGAGGACTTCCCCTTCCCTTACTACCTCGTCGTTCGTGATGTGAGAGAGTTGCCCTCTGTTTTGGCTACTGCACTCAAGCAGTGGTTCGCTGAAGTTGTGGATGTGTCGTCTTGATACTCCAAAAATTAAAAGGTGTTGGAATTGTCTATTTGGAGTTATTTTGTTACATTCGATGGTGTTTGGGATTGATTAGTTTTATCATGATAGATTTTATATAGATGTGATACATATCAGTTGAATGTACATTTTTTTAGTTTATTCAAATTCCCGTATGTCATTTCGTACAAAATGGTATGGTATCTCAATGCTAATGCGCTTGACAAAAATTCACCCAGAATGGGCCTGTGTATGCTAAAACTACCATCCGTACTTGGATCCAGCTTCCTTCTTGTTCCTCCGACCCGTTGCAAAGCTCTCCTCCAATGCCTCCTTCTGCGAACTTGCAACATTGAGCAATTGCTGGAGGGTATGCTTGCCCGGCGCAATAGAGCGTACAGGGTTGTGCTGTGCTCCGGCCAGCTCGCCTTCGGCCAGAACCTTGTTCGACGCATACTCCTCGTCTGTGTTGAAGGTACGCACCTGTGACTGTGACGAAGTGACATTGGCATTCCGACCGAAAAGCTGGCGTCTTTCAGCCTTGGACAAGTTCAAATCGTTGGCAATGCTGTCCAAGGATGATGTAGGATTGGTTGATACTGTTGCTGTTGAACGGTCCATGGCGATTTGTGTGGGCTCGGCGAGTACTGGACCAGCTGCTGGTTCCTCTTCTTCGCCCTCGGCGTTGTATACCAGCGGCTGGTAGGTTGCTGATGGTCCAGGTGCCGGATCTGGCTGAGAAGTAGTCTCCGACGATAGAGAGAAGAGACTGACTTTGGGCTTGGGTGGTGCAGGTGCAGATGCAGATGGGGGGCTTGCTGTAGAGGTTGAGCAGGTTTCGGCGCTGCGGATGAGGAAGGTGTTGGTTGCTCAGCAATCTTGGTGGTCTTTCTCTTCTTTTGAGGTCGTCCGACGGATAAGGGTCTGAACATCATCGGATTTCCCTGCAGTTTGACCTCCACTGGATTTTTCATTGTCTCTGGTGCATCTGATGGAGTGTCGGCTTTTGAGCTGCCAGGTGCAGATGTGGTGCCCGCATCTCCCGCTAGATCTTCAAATGCGTAATCATTCCTCATCTCCGCATCAGCCGAGCGATCAAATCCAGGGCCTGCTCCTGTTTTAAGGCTAAATGCTTTTCGTGCTGTCGCCACTGGTGCTTTCTTTTCAGCTGTTCGTTTCGGCGCTGGAAGGAAAGAGTTGAATCCCGCAAGACCTCCTCCACCTAACCGAGCCTTTTTGCGCGGACCATCTTCGGGATCTTCGCTGGATGGGTGTTCGGGTTTGATTTCTGGAATCGCCATGCGGATCCTGCGCGGGTTGTTGCGGTCGACCTGGAAGCCAGTTTTGGAGTCGATCTTCTTTGCCTTGGTGAACTGGGGTGCGGGTGTAGTATCTGGTTCGGCATCTGAGCCTTCTGAATCCGAGTAGCCTACTAGCACCATGTTGAGATAGTTATGTTGGGGGTTGTTGTTGTTTGGGATTTTCGAGATCGGAGTTGACAAGTTGATCGTCTGACACCTGATCCCTCAGGCATCATTCTATTACCTAAGCATATCCGAATCGAGATCGATCGAAAAGGACATTACAGAGTGGACTAGACGGGATGGAATGGGCCAAAGAGAGAAATGTCCGAAAACACGCTCATAAACTCCAGATGTCATTCCTTACAGTGAAACAGCAGGGATGATCGCATCACTTTGTAACGTCATCGGGATCCGGGGTCTCCGCTTAATTAATAGGATCATACATTGGGACAATGAGGTGTTCATAGTCAAAAGACATACTCGAATTGAATTGCTTGGATTTGGTATCTAGTATAGTCTAGGGATATTGTAGATATAAGTACATATGCAAATATCATGATACTTAACGGAATAATACACTTAAAAAGCCACATGCGATCAAAAATGCAGAGAAATAGATTCTACTAGAGATCAATTAAACTATTAGATCAATTAAACCCAATAATAGATCTAAATAGATCTCAAAGGTCAATTAGAATGTAGAGTGTTTAAGAGTGTTTAAAAAGTCCATAATGAAAGATCAATGCGTCATTCTGGCCGCTGCCCCTCCCCACTTAATCCGGACCTCCCATTCCAGCTTTCTTCCCCCATCCCCCCAAATGGCCCCAAAGCCTGTCTAATCTTCTCTCCATGCCGAGTTTAGGAGGTTTACTGAAGAAGAGGCGAACGAAGGATTCGCAAGATCTAGGGAAACCAGATTCTCAGAACCACGACGGTTCAGGCGCATCCATGCAAGCTTCGCACGCTTCGCCCCAGCATACGGGTACCGGTACACACGACAATGCCGCCAGTATCGACAACATTATAAACCAGGAGCCGGAGCAGGTGAAACAGGAGCGTGTTACCAAGGGGAAGTACTCTCAGGAGGACTTCGAGCTTCAGCGCACCTTAGGAACGGGAAGCTTCGGCCGTGTGCACCTGGTGCAGTCGAACCACAATCATCGCTTCTATGCAATGAAGGTGTTGAAGAAGGCCCAGGTGGTCAAGATGAAGCAGATTGAGCATACAAATGACGAGCGCCGCATGTTAAACCGTGTCCGCCACCCATTCCTCGTTACTTTGTGGGGAACTTGGCAAGATTCCCGAAACCTCTATATGGTCATGGACTTTGTAGAGGGAGGTGAATTGTTCAGTCTCCTGCGCAAGTCACAAGTGAGTGACCCGCCATTCTATTCGGTCTCATGTGCGTGAAACACAGAACTCATTTGTCATTAGCGATTCCCGAACCCGGTGGCCAAATTCTATGCGGCGGAGGTTACCCTAGCGCTGGAATATTTGCACTCGCATCAGATCATCTATCGTGATTTGAAGCCAGAGAACCTTCTTTTGGACCGTCATGGTCATCTGAAGATCACAGATTTTGGGTTTGCTAAGGACGTGCCGGATATTACGTGGACACTTTGTGGTACTCCCGACTACCTGGCGCCCGAGGTTGTCTCTTCCAAGGGATACAACAAATCAGTTGACTGGTAAGCTTGCGTTCAATGCTTCCGTCGAATTGCTCTAACTGTCCAAAGGTGGTCATTGGGTATTTTAATCTTTGAAATGCTGTGTGGATTCACTCCCTTCTGGGACAGCGGATCCCCAGTCAAGATCTACGAGAATATCCTGCGGGGTAAAGTCAAGTATCCTCCATACTTGCACGCCGACGCGGTCGATCTGCTCTCTCAGCTGATTACAGCTGACCTCACCAAGCGCCTCGGCAACTTGCACGGTGGCCCGAGCGACGTCAAGAACCATGCCTGGTTCGCCGAGGTCACTTGGGACCGACTAGCTCGCAAGGATATTGATGCGCCATATATCCCACCCATTCGCGGTGGACAAGGCGATGCAAGCCAATACGACAAGTATCCGGAAGAGACAGAGCACTATGGCCAAGAGGGAGACGATGCGTATGTACTACTTTCCACACCCGCACACCTAACTAACTGGTTCCAGATATGGTCACCTTTTCCCCGACTTCTAAGGTGCTTGTATGATTTTATGACGCGACGAAAAGTCTGGGGGAGGGCCGGAACTGATTGACCCCGGGAGGAGTCGTGAAAAACCAGGAGCCATTATATGAAAATCCATACTTTCTATATGCACATCATTTTTCTTAGCAATTTACAATCGAATTTTTGTGTTTTTTTTTTTCTTTCAATTGCCTGCTCGATGTATACAAATGGATTCGTCGTGAACCCTGTTCTATTCCCAATCTCTCCAACCACTGGGGCACAAAAAGCCACGCCCATATTATACACGGGCTACCAGGTCGCTTCTATCGTACAGTAGTTCATTCACAGAGGTGTGTCTCTTTTGCTTGTTTTCGTCCTTCATCTTCCTTGCTTTGTTCTGATTCGAGGATGGATCGAATTTAACCAAGGATTCCGCTGCCGCCCTCGGGCATGCCGGTAGCCATGGAGGCAATGGCAGCAGCATCCTGACCACCGAGACGCTTGGTCTCAACGCCGACACGGGCGATGTAGGTCTTGCTTGTGAGGTTCCACATGGCGATGTACTTCTCCATGCAGCTGGACAGGCAGGTGTTCTCCTTGGCCGAGAGCGAGGTACCGGGGGCGGGGACGCAAGCCTTGAAGCAGTGCTTATTGATTTTCTGGGGTTGTCAGTTTTTTGCCGGATCTGGATATGAAGGGTGGTGACGTACTCCGATCAGGGAGCGGGCGTTAGACATGGCGGCCTCCTGCTGGAGCTGGCGCATGACTGCTGCCTTGATCTCCTCGGAGGTCTGGATAGGGGCGGCGGAGCCGGAACTGAAAAGCGACGACATTATGAAAGAGTGAGATTGGGTGGGAGAGGTGTAATGAAATGGGTTGAATTGGATCGAAGAAAGTCGGACTTCAGGATCTGAGGTGCAGTGTTGTGGCTGGTGTTTCCACTGCGCCACATTAGATGTGGACACCTTAGCACAACAAGCTGTATACTTCACCTCCTCGTCTCCGCGCCTCAGGAACTTCGCCTATTCACTCCTTCTTGTCGCCTTTCCTCGACATTTTTTTACGGCCTCTTTTCTTCTTTCCTACTGGGTTTTCGGGTCCTGGTGACACCGTACCCTGTCCATCCCACCTCCAGTCTATCTTTCAAACACCCTGGGATCCCCTCCATTGAGCCCTAATACAATTCCACAATGCGTCTTCCGTCTATTTCCTCGCTCCTCTGCTTCGCGGGCCTAGTTGCCTTACCCGTGACTGCCTATGATGACCCAAATATCAAAAGCATTCCCGTATGTGCTCAATGTTGACCCCGTTTCAAACCGAGGTACTGACTTCGGATGTCTATTAGCTTCGCACCCACAGCCTCGCTCCGGTATGATTATATTCCGAGCCCAGCTTGCCTGTCTGCAAATTCCGAAAACAAGCTGTGCATAGCTCGCTCCCCGAGGAGGAATATCAATATTAACCGCCATTAACAGCCATACCTCGATTCGGATTTCCAAAGCCGCTGGTTCGACTTCGGAGGAGATACAGTAATCCGCGCTGACAAGTAAGGATATTCCGGACCTTCAAGTGGAATGTATCCCATCAATGCTGACTTGTGTCTTTGTGTTCAGATATGTCCGCCTCACGGCTGACCGGCCATCGCAGCAAGGATGGATCTCTTCCCGCGTGCCTCTGACCGCGACCAATTGGCAGGTAAATACACAATCTCCGCGAAATCAAAATATGCGCCAAAAGCTCACGTATATCCCCCGCTAGATCGAACTCGAGTTCGAGATCCACGGCTCCGGCAACTTGCATGGTGATGGATTTGCGCTCTGGCTCACCAAGGAGCGCGCCACGCAGGGCCCTGTCTTTGGCTCGACAGACAAGTTCGAGGGTCTCGGTATCTTCTTCGACACCTATAAGAACAACCGCCCTGGTGTGTCGTTCCCCTATGTCATGGCCATGATGGGCGATGGACAGACCACCTACGACCAGGCGCATGATGGCAAGGCGAATGAGCTCGCTGGTTGCTCTGTAAGTTAACATTACTTCGCAGCTGCTTCGGATATGCCTCTAACTGTTCACAGGCTCGTGGTCTCCGTAGTGCCCCCGTTCCCACCAAAGCCCGCCTTACCTACTTCCAGGACAAGTCCCTGTCCCTGGAGCTACAGTACAAGAGCGAAGACACATGGACCGAATGCTTCAATCTCTCCGCCGAGGATTCTAACATCGCCATACCCTCCGTCGCATACTTGGGTCTCTCCGCCGAGACCGGCGAGCTGAGCGATAACCACGATATCATCTCCCTCAAGGCTGAGAACCTATACTCCCTTAACCGCAGCAATGCCAACAAAGGCAAGACCACGGAAGACCGGTCCAAGGGTCATGTTCGCTCATCCCCCAAGCCTATCAAGGAGCCCAAGGAGAAGAGTAGCTGGACTTGGTTCCTCTTCAAGATCGTACTGTTCTTCGGCGTTATTGTCGGTGGTTACTTTGGCTGGACGGTCTACCGGACCAAGGCCCGGTCATCGCGGTTCTAAATTTACGTTGTATGGACATTTGGTAAAGCACAGATCTTCAACCTTTCTACTGTGTGATTCAAGTTGGTCTCTGGGGTTGCCCAGTTTCTCTGATGAAAGGGATCTTGCATACATAGCCCCTTTGAAGCTCTTTTTACTCTGATCTACGTTCTCCATATCAGCTCTTGTTATCTTTTCCTCTTCGTTGAAATGAATTAAAGTCATGATCATTCTAAATATACGGTCGTATGCAGCATGATGCTCGGGGTATCGATAGTAGACAAATAAAGAAATCAAGACGCCGCCCAATGTAAACTCCCACATCACTTCCGTCGCTCTCTCTCCTCATTCCACATCCGGTCCACAATCTGAAAGACCTCCGTCACGCTGCGCATAACAACATCGTCAATGCCCAATGCTCCATAGCGATGCTGGATCTTATCAGGATGCCAGCGAATGCGCTCAGCCTTCAGCGTACCAAGTAACTCCGCCGGCGCCGGGGCATGGCGCATGAACTCTTCAACAGCCTGGGGGTTGATATCAGCCCTCTTCCCAGAGCGAACAGGCCAGAAGAGCAGATTGCGCAGTGGCTTGGGGGCAGATCCCTCCGCAGCCTTTCCAATAGTCTCCCAGCTCTTCAGATACGCAGTCCAAGGTCCACTCCATCCAACCTTAGCTCGCTTGCGCTCCGCGCCTCGCCGTAAACTGTCGTCCATGGCACGTTCAAACTCCTCCCGCCCAGCCTGCGCATTCCTCTGAGCCTCTTCCTTCCTCTTCTGCTGCCGTTCAGCACGCAGCCGTTCCTGCTCTGCCAGCATGCCTTCTCGCGTCCGTTCCCACATTCGCTGACGAACGTAGTTTACGTACTCCTCCTCCGTCATCTGTTCAAGCTCGCCCTCCGGACCCCGCTGTACCTCCGGTACGCGGTAATTGTGGATGGGTTGCCCGTAGACGGATTCCCAGTACGCAGCTCCTTCGTCGTCGCCAAGCGCATCGAAGAGAGATTCTCGAAATGTGTCTCTAGTGGAACCGAAAGGGTCTTCATGTGTGGATTCCGGTTGCTTCTCTTCGCGATGTCGCCGCTTAGATGGTTCACTGTCGCGCGTGCGCGATCGGTGGCGGTGGGTACGCTTGCGATGCGGACGACTGCCATCTTTAAATCGGAATGCGCGGCTGTGACTTGAGTGTCTGTGCTCTTTATCAGGGGGGTTGTGTGGGTGAGGTTCTGTGGGTGAGGCGGGTTCGTTGGCTCGAGAATGCTCTGAGGGGTGGGATGCCCCAGGCGCCTCGGCTGGGGTGGGCGTTGAGGTCATTGTGAAGGGAACTCAAACGGTAGACCAGCTCCAATTAGTAGATCTCATTGTGTGAAATTGTTGATAGCCAAGTTGGTGAGAGTGAAACAAGAGTATCAAAAAGATAAATGAGCTAATCTGGAAAGCGCGGAGATAAGGTGTCTTAGTCATCTTATCTCCACGGCCAGAGGATATTTGCAGATGTATATTCACCATCTTAGTGTGGGAGATTTTCCAACCTCTACTCTTGATTTAGTTTTGTCTCTATATACACCGTTTGGCCACCTTCCCTAGACTATCAGCAAGGGTTAATACATTTCAAAATCTTATGATATAGCCCGAAACATGTATCTAACGTCTTTTCTCTTGCTATTCACATCTCAAGGTACGGCGACAAGGAAGGGCGTCTCGGGCGTGCAATTGGAGTTGCTTTCAAATTCAGGGCTATACCTATTGGCATTGGAATAATATCCATTAATGTGCAGCACGACCCAGTACCAGGTAAGACACTAACATGATCCGTGTTGTGGCCGTGGCGAGGATATGAAACCCCAGTTGATTCCATCGGCATTGAAGGGATTCCGGGCTAGTGAGTAAAGCGCAGTATGACTAGATAAATGCATCGTTTACAGTAAGGGCAATCAAGTTGAATTCATCCTAGATGCGAGGGTTCCTTTGGTTCTCGGCTTGTCCCCCATGACACTGAACCATGTATGTTTGAGATGGACATGTAATGAACATAATGAAGATATATGAAGTAACATGGATTCCTGTATTCCTCATGTCTATTAATAACTTTTTAAGCTAGTTTACTTGAATTCTCGAGCAACAGCAGCAACCACCTCATCAAAGTGCTTGTGGAAATCAGCATCATCTCTGGTCGGCTTCCATCCCAGCTTTCTGCTCAAATCTGCGCGTGATCTTGCACTTTGGTCATGTCAGCAACTAATCAAACCCTTGGAGATTCAAAGACAGAACTTACTTGCTGGCCAACACAATCTCCACAAGATCCTCACTACCTCCAACAATCGGGGCCGCCTCTGTGAGGTCAATCTTTCTGACGTCCTTGGTGGAGCACAGGCCTCGAGCGAAACAGGCATCTGCAATTCCACGAGATACATCTAGCCAGGTATGCTCTCCTGTCTCGGCAAAGAAGATGCCTTTCCGTCCAGATGGGAGATCCGGGCGGCTAGCCAAGATGCCTTCAAGAATCAAGGTGTATAATGGGGCGAGATCAAGAATGTGGACGTGGTTCCAGATTCCATCCCCATTGCCGATCACAATTGCCTGTTTTCCCTTGATAGCCTCGCGCGCGAGGTTAGGGACCTGTTGGGATATCGTGGCGACAGGGCCATTGCCTTCGCCATAGATAGTTGGCGGAACAACAATGTAAGTTGGAACGTCCAGTTTCTCTCCGGTTTCAATCACAACAATATCGGTGATACGTTGGCCGTATGGACCCCGGCTCTTTTCGTACTCATAGATATCATCGATTGCATCGGAGTAGACGCCAAGGTCAACCTTCTTTCCAGAAATGGGTTGATCGCCGAGAATCGAGGTTCCAGAAGTATGGATGTACTGAACCGCACGTCCAGTATGCTGCTTTCTCTCCGCGAGTCCCTGGATAATGGCGGAAGCTGACTTGTCATGACTAGCCGATGCTGCATTGATGACGATGTCATGTTCACTCGCAGCCTTCTTGATGGTGTCCAAATCATCTAAGCCTTTGAACAAGATAGATTCGATGGCTCGAGTCTTGAGCTTTGACACATGTTCTTCGTTGCGAACAAGTGCAGAGATAGAATACTTCGATGCATTCTTCGACTTCTGCAGGTCTGTAAGAATGCTTCCGCCGCTATGATATTATCAGCATCTTGAAATCAGCCGGCTATGGGATTGTAGATACATATAGCCCGTAGTTCCAAGGATCAGGATCTTTGTTTGAGACATTGCAAACGGGATGGAGTTGGATAACCGAGTGAATTGAATGTCGAAAGAGAACTTCTTCACTGTGAAGTACTTGGTAAATATAAGTCCTGATGGTTCATCTTACCAGAGCAACTCTTATATTGCTTGCTTATAAATCAAGCGTCATTCATCTTCTATGAGCTCTCTAACCAGGGAAGGTCCTGTCGTGAAGTTAATAGTCCATGGATGGGATACGGAGGAATTTGTCAGCAACTCGGAGAGTAAATCTCGGGCGATACTTACTACATTTAGAGAATATTGATATCTCGATATATAGATAATCTTCCCAGAGAGCAGTGGAGCTATGTGGGCCATAGACTCATTGATCCAAGAGGCTTCTCTAGAATATAAATCAATGGGCATTCATATGGGAACCCATTACGATAGGTCATAGCAGTTGTTCGGATTTTTCGTATAAAGTATTGCTCGTTATACAGTAGCATTGGACCCGGTTGATGACATTCACTAGATGCTCAATGGTGTTTCAAGTGCATCACATCCGGCCGGAAAGGGACGAAGTTCTGTTCAATCTCGTCACGTTGAACTCGGGGATTTCCATGGCCCTTAGCCCAGCATATTTTTACGAGCTTAGTCCTCCATGCGTTGCAGTGGTGCACAACGCTACTACAAGGACATCGACTTAATTTGTAGGGTTCGGGAATGTATCTTTTCACCAAAGATATCATCAACGGCCTTTTTGCCTCGTTGATGTCATGACACGGATAGATATGTCCTTTTCACGCATTGCCCAATATCGCTAAAATAGGCTGATAGTGTAGGTGAGTCCAATTATCCCGCAGATGGGGTGAAGATAGGCTTCTTCGGGAGTCAAAGTCATCGTCGTTTCAGGCAGTTCATATGGGAAAAGAAAGAGGAAGAGGGAAGAGTTGAGGTAGCTTTATCTTTCTAGCTATAAGATTAACAAGGGAAAAAGCTCAAAAGCGTATCAAAAAGAACCATTAGAAAGACACTTGAAGAGACCTCCAAAATAACATTAAAAAAAATATATGCCAAAAGACTGCCCAAAATATAAAGGGTGTTCGGCAGACTTTGCTTCCTCATTTTCCTCTCTTTGCTCTTCTCTCTATAAGTCGTATTGGCAGGAACGTCCAACCATCTGGCCTGGAAGACACGAAACGCGACGAGCTTATCGGCATAATGGGCCAAGTTGGCGAATTCCAAGGTATTACGGTTACTGACGAAGGGGAGGAAGAGAATTAAGAACTGTAGTTCATTCTAGCAAAGAGCTATACCCTGTCAAGCAACGCTCAGACAAACAATTCAACGGTCTGATATCCAACAGGTCATACTATCTTGAGCTACTAATCGGTATATCCTTACTTATCTCTTGCTTTCAACTCAACTGACTCTTTTTTCGGTGAACTTCTAGGCCAACGCAGTCAAATGCGAATGGCGGCTCTGCTGTGGTTTTGTATCATGTAATTCCAAAATCTTTGTCAAAAGGGCCGATGATACTTGCTTTCTTCTTTTCAAGCCGATCAAACACAACACGCTCCAGCCTCATCGGAGCCTAGATACCACGAGAGCCTGTCTTCTTTCGCCACAAAGGTAATTTACCTTGGGAACTAAGAACAGCTGCTGAGATATATTGACAAGCCACGAGGTCCTCCTCCATACATCTCAGATCGTCTCCGTGAAAATGAAGCCGAGCCACCCCAGCAACAATCAACAACCATCAGCGCGCACTGGAGAAACAATCACTCCAACTAGTGTCATACTCGACTATGGCCAAGGGCCAAGGCACCCTATGGTGGTGAACTGTGTCCAAAAGCTATTAACCCCGAATGTAAATGTTAAAGAAATACCTAAGAAGATATCTCAAAAGTCAAAAGTCAATAGCCTTTATCCGTCCTCAAGGTAGTTCAATAATCCGATTCATGTGATTTGAGATGATACAAGGGAACTAAAGCTGAATGTACGCCATCCCGGACTCCCAGCCCCCAAACGCAATTCCAAGTACAGAAAAGCAGATAATCAAATGCGATAATGTGCCATATTCTTCTTGATCTCGTCCACAATCTCCACGGCCTCATTGGTACTCCTTGCCTCAAAGTCATAACGCTTCTGCTCCGTAGCATCATTGCCACGCACGATCATCACCCGGAAACTCTTGGGATGTCGTCGGCTAACCTTGGATCCGATCACGTCGCTGAAACTGATTGAACGGGTCTTACCACCAGACGCCGTTTTGCCCGTGTCACCGGGCACGATATGCATATAATCATTTTCAAACGTGAGGATCCGATGGTTAGATGCTGTGAAGGACATGGGTTGTTTGCGGAACACGTGGTACCGGCGGTAATATCCACCTAGGTGGTCTTGTTTCTGAGAAGATGAGGGCAACATGCGTTGGGCACCCTTCTTGGCCTCCTTTTTGCTCTTCTTGGAGGTTGTTGGGTCCGCGGTTTCCACCATCAATGGCGCGTTTGGTGATGAGCTGCCTGGTGAGGTTCCCAGTGCGAGGGGTCCCCCGCCGAAGCGACGACGCACTAGATCAAGGTCTGTGATGCTGCCCAGTGCCTCCACTGTGCGGTCAAGTGGTGCAATCGTGTTCGACCCCATCACCTTTAAGAGGTAGTTGCCCTTATCCTGGCCCCATCTTTTACATACAGAGTCCAGGATCTCGGCTATATAGCTGTCGGTAGATGTGTTGATGGTCATGACATGTGCAGAAGCCTCCATGTTGATGAAGCGGATTTTCAATGTCTTGGAAACACCAAGACGGGGAGTGGCATGTGAGATAGGTACCACAGGGCGGTCAGCGGGAGTAAGAGTGCTGTGGTTGAGCGCAGACGAGAATGGCTGGCCTAGGATGGGGTTTGCTCGGGCTGGTGTGGTCTGGGTTTTCTGTGCAGCGGGTTGTGTCCCTGGTGCTGCAAGATTCGCCGGCTGATCTGCCTCTTCCGACCCGACGCTTGAACTGAACTGCGGATATAGCCGTTCATTCTCCTCAAACTCCGAATTCGATGCTTCTACCAGTGCGAATTCATCGTACGGCTTGCCCCTTGACCGTCCTCGGGACTTGGCTGATTGGTTGTTGTTTGACGTGAAATCCGTCATTGGAAGTGTCCGCCCAAGCGCTGGGAAGTCATATTCGACTTCGCCATCGTCGACCATCCGTAGCGTCCATCGGTTCACGGTCAGATTTGCGCGATCAATTGGTGGGCCGCGAGCGTCCGCCTGGTATTTCCACAGGGCAAGACCAATCGTCTCAGCAACAGTCACTTGTGCGGGCTGTTCTGCAAGCTTAGACTGGCGTGTAAGTGGTAGATCCAGCGGGTCTTCGGGGTCGCTTGAAAAGGGAACGTAGATCTTCAAATACAACGAGTCCTCTTGACCTCGTCCAGAGAGCACCACGAATTTATCCACTGGATTACTTGGTGCTCGCTTCCGGGACGTAAGCTGGCTGGTCAATAAGCTGACCGGCTGTATCATGCTGATCGGCCGCGGCGGGGGAAGATCTTGCAATGCAGGAGCCGGAGTGCGATGCTTGCGCGGTGAATTATTCTGCGGCCCTGTGCCAGAGGGTAACTTGTTCATCATGACCATGGGCGAGGACAAATTCAAACCACCCGTTACGCCTGCCAGCAGCAAGGAGCCAGATCCGGCCGTATTGTCAAAGTCAGATGAAATTGCAGACCCAACAGACTCGGCACCGGAGTCCTCGTCCTCGTCCACCTCGTGGAGTTCTCCAAGGGCCAGGCTCTCTGCGCCTCGACTACCAGTTCGCTCACGCCGTCTGCGTGGATACTCGACGACCTGATCACTCGTGGAGAACTGAACTTGGCCTTGTTTGTAGCCTCGATGGTCGGTTTCGTTATCCGTTGACAGATCACTGCTAGTGGTTGTATCTCGACGGGGCCGTGGTTTTACTTGGCGATATTGACTTGCAAGGCTTTGTGTTGACGCAGATGTGACCATCACTTCTGGCCGTTCCCTCTGGTCCCCAGAACGCATCGGAGAGGAGTCGGCTCGATCTCGGCGGATGGGCATCTTGTCGAATTTGATCTGATCAACAGCACTGTTCTTTATCAGATAGGGAAGTATAATACCACACAATAATTCACTGACCTGCCAACGGTGTCCCCATCCTCATCGCTGTCATCACTCAGGTCGCTGCTATCGTCGTCCTCTGCTTCAACTTGTCTCTGGACCTCTTGTTGTCTTTCTCGTCGAGTTTTCTTCTTTCCGCCGCGTGCATGGTTTCGCCGCGCCGCGGCCATGTCCATGTGGCTCTTACTACCGGTCACCATGCCACCATCATCCTCGCCGTCTTCCAGGCCGAGACCTTGTAATTCGTGACGTTGAGGTTTTGCATTTCGTTCTGCTAGCCTGTAGTATTCGGATGAAACGTTTGCCGTTGTTGGAATCGGCGGGGAGTAAGTGCGCTTTAGGTGGGAGGAGCTGTGTGTGTTGGGGTACGCGGCGGCGGTTGACCAGCCCGCCGCGCGGAAACCAGGCGTATTCAGGACGGAGTCATTGACGTTGATAAGTCGGTCTCCGATTCCATCTTTGATCGTCGAGAGATATGAGGAGCGTAATTGCCAGATCGTAAAGCTATACTCGGGTTAGTCCTTGGAACCCTTTCTGCGAGGAGTTGAGGGCGATCGGTCTGCAATTTCGGACGCGACTTACTCTTCATTATGAAGAAGAGACATCTTCCCAGTTTTCACGAGGACATATGTGTGTAGTGACCCAGGGCTGTGCTGCGCAGTAGCGACCGAGGTCTGGATAATCACAGCTCAAGCTAAAAGCGCATGCTCGAGGGAATAAAGTGCCTTGATGAAAACGAATGAGACTAGCTCATACAGGACCAGCCTGGAAAAACAGATGAAAAAGATCAAGATATCAAGGAGAGAAAATAGAGAAAGGAGAGAAAGGGTGGTATCAGCAAGAGAGGGAACTCGGTGTTCTCCGTAGATCATTTCCCCGCCAAGGGGGTCCTGGGAACTCAACTATATGCCTAGTACGGAATACACTTGGCAAATCAATTATTGCTATTCAGACTATCCAGGCTATGCTCTCAATAAATATTGAAAAAAAGATTATTGGAACATATGATAGACGCAACTAGTCCGCCACAATGGTATGGGCTGATGACATGCAATAAGTATAGAGATTCCAATAAACGAGATGAATATCTCTCCCAGATTGTCCCTAGAAAGAAAACACAACGCTTTCTCCAATACCATTGAGCTGACTAGCCGCTACCATAGCCTCCTTCCATTGATACAGACGGAATTGGCCGACAACATAGCATCCGTCCTCTTCTTTCAGGCGAAGATTCCCCCTCTCCACCATTTTGATCAATGCAAGAGCATCCTTTCGCTCATACATCCAGTTCCCCTTCAATGTGATATTGCAACGCATGACAAACTGATGTGGAATCTCAATCCGCTTATATGCACCCATCAGACCCACCCGGCCTCCGGGCCTGAGCGACAGAATGCCGGATTCGAGATGGGAAGATCCTCGGGCTCCTGGAGGGGAAATGTCGAGGAACGCGTCCATAGCACCAAAAGTTTGAATATTGAGGACATCTTTTGTACAGTCGCCTGTCCAGGTTACCGTGGAGATCCTTTCGTCAGAACCGTTGCGAGTGCGTGCTAGCGTCTGATTGAGATGTAGGAGCTTAGCCTCATTGTGACAGCAAGCTACAACTCTCGCACCTAATACTCAGTTAAGCAAAAGTCTTGATCATCCAGGCTTGTCCTCGGTAGCCAAATAAATTACCCATAGCCAAAGCAACCATGCAGGCAGCAACGCCCTTTGGAGAAGTGGCCGGAGAAATCAATATCGCTTCACCAGGCTTCACATCAATGTTAGCCAGTCCACCAAAAGGTCTGAGGAATGTGGCAATCGCACAAAGCTGCTCTGGGGTATATGCAAAGCCCCAATTCATCGGATCTCCCATCAACTTAGCCTCATCCAGCGGATAGCAATTCTCAAGTGGCGCCCTCATAAGCTCGGCATATGAGCCATCTGCGAAGCCGCTAGAGGCTATCATTCTCGTGCTTTGGACGTCAAACCCATGATGTACAGGATTGGGAAATCGAACCGTCTCTGGGCTATCTCTTCCTTTCATCACTGGGTCAAAGAAGACTAGTTGACCAACCTTCAGACTGATCGCATCGTCACCGACCTGGCTCACACGGGCAATTGCACTTGAGCCGGGAATACATGGTTTTTCGTGAGGAGATCCGTTAGGGTTGTAAAAGCCAAAGACTTGCTTGCTGTATGGGTGGAGCGGAGTTGCGAGGATACGCAGAATAACACTTCCAGGCAGTAGAGACGGGATAGGAACTTGTTCGACTTGGGGTTCAGTAAACGGAACAGGTCTAAGTATGAAAGCTTGATGCGTGGAGTGAGCCTTTGGAAGAAGTGTTCTGTACACGGTTGTTGAACGCTTAGTGTCCAAAGAATCTGTAGAAAGACAGTTGAGTGTTTATATCCATGAAAGGTGAGAGCATTGACGTACTTGGTGTGGCATCTCCATCGCCACCTGATTCAGAGATAGAACTCATCTTGACATACGGGAGCAGGTCTGCACAGAACAAGAGTCGAGATAGTAAGAGTTGGGATAAAAGAGGTAGAAGGATGTGAAAGCAAAAGAGGTCAGCAATCGCGAGAGGGCAAACAGTGTCAGAAGGGAAGTACCAAGTCACGTTAATATGTAAACAATTAAATTGGCGTGCTTAAGAGATATCAGGTTGAAATGCGCCCATTAAAGAGACGTCCTTAACCAAAAAATAATATGTTACAGAAATAATCTCTCAGGCCTTGGGCTTAGCCCTACTCTTACGAGCTTTCTTCGGCTTTTCCTCCCCATCGTCGTCGTCATCGGCCTTCTTTGTCTTCTTACTCTTGGCCGGCGCCTTCTTTTTCTTAGGCAAGCTCACATACTTGTCCTTCTTTAGATCAAGTACTTCTTCGTCCTCATTCTTGACATCCTCCACAACTTCTTCTCCGTCGGATGCTTCAATGGCATCCTCAATATCAGGCATCTCCTTCTTTCCCTTGGGTGCAATGACGTTGCTGGCCTTCATAAATGGCATGGGATGCGAGCGCGAGTTGTACAGACGTGTGAAGGTGGCTTTGGTCTGTGTCTCAAGTTTGATCTTAGACTCGTCCATTGGGCCGAGTCCTAGTTCAACCATGGAATCGAAGTCCTCACGGGTGAGGTAATACGAATCCATGAGATCGATGACTGAATCCACACAGTCTTTGCCTTCGTCCATCATTCGGCGTATCATCTTCTCCTGGAGCAAAGGCATGTACTGCTGACGGATCTCGTCGCGGTTACCCGTAGTACGAAGACGCATGTGACCCTGTAATTCCTTGACGTATCGGGATAGTTTGCCTAAAGAAGAAATCAGTTAGAGAGTGTATGCAGAATTGGTGGATATCCAAAACATACCATGTTTACTGTTGTTGCCCAGCCAGCTGGTAAATGCAGGCCGCTCATTCATGTTTCCGTACTGGAAGCTGGCTGGTCGCACAAAGCTGAAGATTGCATGGGTGGGCATAAGACTCCATTGCTGTTGGGTGCCGTGAATCATGCGGTCGACGAGATCACCATCGCTGATACTCGAAGCGGCATTGTCCAGCAACTCGAGCGACTTTAATCGTTGTTCCTTGCCTTGATACTTGCCCGCAAGAGCAGGCTTGGTCCTGAGGTAGTTCTCCTGGAGCATCAGGTAGCTGAACTCGTGGTCATTGAAATAAAGCTCGACCTTGTCGTTCAGGGTAGCAGTCGAACTTGGGGAAAACATCTGCGCGCTAAGAATTTTGCTGACAATATCCCATGGCTTGAGGATAAGATGCTTCTCCCACGCCTTTGACATCTGCTTGCCTTCGTCGTAATTGAGACCCTTTTGATCCAGTCTTGCGGTGGAAAGCATGTTAATGACCTGGCGGATATCGGCATGGGTTCCTTCAATGAGACCATCAAGTACAGGAGGCGGAATCTTGAGGCCTTCTCGGAAACAGATAGTGGATAGTCTTGCCCGAATTTGCTCAGCAGTCGGGCGTCTGAATGGCACGTCATAGGTTATGAAGTCGAAAGGTTTCATCTTGGGAAGCTTTCGCTCATTGCAGATAAGAATGATTGGAATCTTGCTCTTTTTGACAATGGCCGCGACAGCTCCCACACCTCCACGATCACCAGCAGACATGCCATCAACCTCGTCCATGATGAGTACGAGCTTTTTCTTTCCACTCTCCACCTGCTTGCCTTGTCCGGCAAAGTATCCTTGCAATGATGTTGTGTCTAGCACACCCAGGGTAGAACTCTCCACAAGTTTCTTACTTCTGGTGTCACTGGCGTTGGTCTCCACGATATCGTATCCTTCCAGCTTTGCCACGAGATGGGCTGCTGTAGTTTTGCCGATTCCTGGGGGACCGTGAATGATGACGGCACGATAGATCCCTGAGCCATCTTTACCACCCTTTTTAAAATCGGCCTGGGCATTAGCATGCCAGTTCCGCAGCCAGGTCTGAACCTTTTCCACTGCACCCTTATTACCACAGATCATACTGGTCGATGTTGGTGCATACTTCGTAGTCCAGAGATCGCTAGACGATATGACCTGTGAGCTTGGTGGCGTCTGAGATGCGCTGGGGGTGGTCTTGGATCCTTGAGCAGTCGTGGCCGTCTTTCGTTTTTCCACTTCTCGTTTCTTCTCTTCGGCATCGATTTCGGCCGCCATGGCACGGACCTTGGCCTCGTCGGCTTTCTGTTTCTCGGCGTACTTTTCGGCAGCCTTTCCATCACCGCCGTTGGCAGGCAGTCGTCGAATCAGTTCAAAGAGGCCGTCCTCGTTGATGGTCTTGATCTTGTGCTTGGCAATGGTCTCAAGCTTCTTTGGGCCGGCATCACCTCCGAGGACCACATAGCTCGTCTTAGAACTAGGGGCTCCCACGACTTTGCCACCATACTTCTTCACCAATTGCGCACCCTCCTCGCGGCCGAGGGATTCCAGAACACCGGTGAAAACAAACGACAAACCAGCAAGGCAGTTTTCTTCACCAACTGGAATCTCCTTACTCCCAGCCATTGCCGGGTCTCGGCTTTGTTGTGCCCCGAATTTGAATTTCTTCGCCTCTCCCTGAGGAGGCTCTGGAGCTTCAATGGTAGGAATGCTGTCGAAGATATCTTGGAGCTCTTTACTCTCTGGTTTGTCCTCCTTTTTAGCGTTTTTAGGGGCAGCCTTCTGCTTCTTCACAGCTGGTGATGCCGCGGCCTTGGCCTTCGGGGCAGCCTTTTTTGTTTCCTTTTTGAGTTCTTGGTAGTCATCGTCTTCGTTCTCGTCAATGAGAGCTTCCGACTTGCGCTTGCGGCCAGGTCGAGCCTTCGGAGCAGGAATCTTGGGGAGATCTTCCATGACTACATCATCGTCATCATCGCGAGAAGGTTGTTTCTTCTCTGTTCTCTTCGTAGCAGCAGCAGCTGGCCGTACCTCAAGCATTTCGAAGTCATCGTCCTCGTCACTATCGTCTCCAGCCACATAAGCGTCTTCTCCCTTGCCGGCCTTTCCGTATTCTGTTGCAAAAATGTCATCGGCGCCGAGATTCTCGTCCTCGGCGACCTTTGTGGCTTGCTTTGTTGATCTCCGAGTAGTGCTTCGTCCCTTGCTCGCAGGTTCTTCGGCAGTCTTCTTGGGTTTGGCACTTTCGGCAACAGTATTGGCCTTGTCGGGCTGAGCTTTCTCAGTCGTTTTAGCAGGTCTTGTGTTCTTCTTGCTGGAGGCAAAATAGTCGGAGGAAGTTGTAGGTTCTTCTTTAGGCTCTTCGGGCTTTCTGCGAAGAAAGTTCATTAGTTAAATTTATATGGGGCTTTTCAATCCAGCGATGAACATACGGTTGGCTCTTAGGTTTCGCTTTAGTAGCGGGCGCTTTGACAGGTGCTACATCTTCTTCTTCATCATCACTGTCATCCACAACTTTCCTGCTGCCTGTTGTCGCGTTAGACTGGCGGTACGAGAGTAGGGAATATGGAGAGCATACGTCTCTTTCTTGTGACGGAGGAGTCCTGCATTGTCGAATTCGAGGTTAGAATTTAATCACGAGTGATTCAAAAGGGGTGTGGCCATATATAAAGTGACCAGGACCTCCTCTCATGAACAAGGCACCAGCTTACCTCTTTTTTGGCCGCGGGCTTCGCGGGGGCATCGCTGGAGCTTTGACTTGGCTTGCCGCCAAAGAAATTCCGGATGTCCATAGCGAGACTCAATCGGTCACACGGACTTCAGCAGAGACCAGTATACGGTTGAAGATCAATTGAGCTCTTGCCGCAGCGGTTGGTCGACCGCGAACGACGCGCCCCAGTCCCGGGGAGACGTGACTGGCTGACGTAAGGCAGCACTTCCCCCCTTTTAGGACTAGCGCATATAAGCTACAGCTATTGGGACTATGTACAACGTATAACTAAGAATCATGAAAGGATACTCCGTACATAATTTGTCAAGCTCCCCAGATACTGTAATACCCTTAGGGTACAAGGAGTCACCATCTATCTACAAAGCCTTGGGCAACGGTAAGAGGATTATCAGCCACAGAGCATACTATATATGCACTACATACGCTTTAATAATTATGTCCTATGGCACAGACTTGCTATTTTTGTACAATTGATGCATCTCGGATAAATAGATGCTGTTTAGAGCTACTGTACGGAGTAGAATGAAAGATGCTGCACTCAAATGCCTGATTTACAGGGCAGAAATAAGCACCCATAAGTCATGTCACGTGTATGCAGCACTTCCACTTTGAGACTAGTGCGAATCATCGAAAAGTGCCGGAGTAACGAAGCCTTTCGCAACATTGGTATATCTCGCCGCCTCCCTCGTCACAATGGGTCCACAGATCAAGATGTTTGCTGGACCGCTCTCCGCCTGCACGCGGCCAACCCGTACGAGCCATTTAACTCCCCGGAAATTCATTCAGCCGAAGACTAACAGTGCGAAACAGTGTCGGGACCGCTGGCCACCTTTTCCCTATCACGATGCTTCTCTACCACCTCGCCCGCCCTCGATTGGCTGACCCCAAAATTCCAAGAAAAATCCAAATCCCCCAAGGGTCGCCCTCACGTCGCTACCGGCGGATCCACCCGAGGAACAACAGTCGTGTGGGGAGACTTCGGTCTGCGCATGAAAGACCACGACCGCCGTATGCCTGCATCGGCGCTGAAGATCGCTGAAGAGACTATCAAGCGGCGGCTACGAGGAATGAACTATAAGCTGTACAAGCGTGTCAGTGCCAACATTGGTGTCTACACCAAGGGTAACGAGCAGCGTATGGGTAAGGGTAAGGGTAAGTTCGACTACTGGACTGTCCGACTTCCCGTGAGCCGAATCGTCTTTGAATTGAAGGGAGATGTCCACGAGAAGGTTGCCCGCGAGGCTTTCAGATTGGCGGGCCACAAACTGCCAGGTAGGTTATCCATTCTCTACAGGCACTACTATCTTAGGTACAAAAGATGCTCATTCTGATTCATTAGGCCTCTGGGAATTCGTCCACAAGGATG